ACCTCTGTCCTCTTCGGCGCAGTTTTAAATTACAATCGTTGTTATACGAAAACATACCTTAGGATCAAAATAACAAAAGTTATTTTAATTTAAACTCTATTAGTTTAAAATTGCGAGGTAGGTTATTTTCGGTATTCAACAATGCTGTAAGTAAATAGACTATTAACGTACTACTTAAAACCTAGAATTAATTAATTATATAGTTTTTGCACTTTAAATCATCTCGGTATTTTGTTACGTTTAAAAAAAGTACCAGTTGAAATTCGACGGTCACTCGTCCAAAGAACCTCGACTGAAATAGGGCAGTTTCGTAATATTTATTTTAATGTCCGTCTGGTAGATTATGTTAAAACATTAGACACGTATTGTTTCTTTTCTTACAAAATTAAATACTTTCGACGATATATTGATTTGAAATATCGTGTAACGTCACGATTTATTACATTTTATAGGTTTTTTTAAGGGGGGAATATCATCGAATGACTGCTCCCGCCTGGGTGACGCGGGAGGGAGTGTCAGACTCTTACTGACTAAAAACCACCCCGTTCTTTCTCCTGCACGTCGAGCCGGAGCCCCGATAACCCGTTAGGTTCTCCGTGACGTAACGACCTACTACTCCTAAACTTGACTCCTTTTTATCTAAGTATTGTTTTCTTATACGACAAAATAAAAAAATACGTGTATAATATTTTTTCATTATCTAACTGACGGACTAATTACATTTTTAATTTTTATACCCTGGCAACTATCCAATCATACATTATTTCCAAGTATTCTTGTTGTTTATACACCGCGAAATCTATTTCGTTTTCGTCCCGAAGTAAAATGGTTCTGTCTCGATAATACAATAGTTTTACAAAGAAATAAAATGTTTAAAACAAACATAACTGGTGAACTATTGCAACGCAAACTTTGAAAGCGCATACGAACTCATTACAGTACATTATCAAAACAACGCCATGTAATAGGGTAGACGACTAATTTTTATTTTAATGTCCGTCTGATAGATTATTTAAAAACATTAGACACGTATTTTTTATTTTCTCACAGAAACGAATAGTTTCGAAGATATATTGATTTGAAATGTCGCGTGACGTCACTTCTCAGTACATTTTATACTAAGAAATGACGTTTTAGCCCCCACTCCTAAACTTTGATTCGTTTTATCTCAGTATTGTTTTATTATACGACAAAATAAAAAAATACGTGTCTAATATTTTTTCATTACCTAACTTACTGACTAATTATATTTTTAATTTTCATACCCTGTCATCATCCCCATTCTCGAAGAGGTATTTCTCGTCGGGTGGCACGTGCGATGCGAATAGTGCCTACAAATTTACGTCTAGTGCTTCATGTGCATATTTCCATGTGCTTTTTTAAACTAAAAGAAGGTTGCATTTCTTTATTTTTTGTTTTATACATCAAAAGTACTCCTTATGCTAAGTTGTTTTGTCGCGGGACGTAAACGAAATAGATTTGACGATGTAGATTAGGGATTATCGATAAAGAATTGACTTAGTCGAAACAATAACATGTTAATGTGAGCAAGGTATCGGAAATCCGATCTCTGACACACTGTACAACTAACAGTTAAGCAGTCGTATGTACGGTCAAAGGTCAAAAGTCCACTGCCACCGTTAGACTACTATCGGTTAGACACACTCACATATTACCTACCGCGTCGTCGCGTGCGCTTGAGGTTATTAGTCGAATGTGACATCTGAGATGTAAATGTCAGTGTCAAGCATGCGTTTAGTTCGCGAGATTTATTTATTCTACAAATAATAATTAAATTTTTTTCCATCACATTTGTTATTTTAATTTTGAAAATGTTAGAATAATATCACTGTATATATATATATTTTTTATTGTTATTCTATTATTATTCCCATATATTTATTTTAAATTCTCTATAAAATACATTTTTAAATACTATTTACAAAAACATAAAAATAATATTTAAAAATATAAAAAATAGGAGCCGACCAGTAGCGGGAGCATGGTCCAAGCTACCGGTGGTTAGGGCTCCAGAGACAGAAACCTCCTCACGATACGTGCCGTTTCAAGGAGAACTGCCTTCTGTATCAGGCCCTTGACCCAACTGCCTAACGCTAGCCTCCTAAGGTGGTTGTCGAGGCTATTAGGTATTAACCCATTGGCCGATACGACTATCGGCACAATGATAGCCGAATCTACATTCCACATGTCGACAACCTCGTGAGCCAAATCAAGATATTTGATTTGTTTATCTTTTTCAGCTTTCACGAGGTTCTCATCATGAGGAATAGTGATATCGATTATCATCGTGCGGCGCAGTTGTCGGTCTATCACCACTATATCAGGTTTGTTGGCTATAATAGTCCTGTCAGTGATGATAGACCGGTCCCAGTACAACGTGATATGGTCATTTTCCAGAACTGGGTCGGGCACATACTTGTAGTACGGTACCTCAGACTCATTATTATTATTATATGTATAATATTATAATAGTCACGGGCAAGTGCTGAAAATCAGCGCCGCGACTCGAGCACACTCGTGTCACGGCATTTAAGCTGAGCTCTGGCCTTTTTGCGCCGTCTTTACTGTATTGTTTATTTTTTTTGTGTTATTGTACCTTGTGACGGCGTGCAAATAAACGATTTTTCTTTCTTCTTCCTTTCATATTTGTATCCGTGCGTACGCGTACGTGTGTATGCGTACGCACGCGTGTTTATGCACATTAATATGAAATTACTTACGCATTGCCGTATGAACATTACTCACGGTGGCAGTGGACTTTTGACCTTTGACTATAAATATAACAGTGTAGCCTGCATCTAAAATAAGTGTTTGACACAAAAATCTGAACTGGCACTAAAAGTACCACTGCAAATACTCTAAGTTCAACTTAGTAAAAACTTTATATATAACATAATATTAATCTTCGGTAACTTTCCTGGTTATTTTGCCAAATATTTTCTTTATACAAACCTTGTATTTAAATAAAATTATGATAGTGGTCGCATGATGAGGATACCCATGTCCAACACAGGGATCAATATTTTTCCGACCGACCTTTTAACTTGGCTTTGGTAACCTCGTTCACAGGCAACCTAGATAATACAGTGTGTTAGGTTAAACGAGGGCTTTTGAGGGAGGGTATTCAGTATGAACTGCTGCTGCTGTTTTTTTATGTTATTATTGTTTTGTTCTTATGGTTTTTTATTTTATTTTTTTTGTTTTTCAATGTTATTTTGTAATTATTTTGTGTGTTATTGGGTGGTCCATGTCTGGTGGCGAATAAATTATTTTTCTTTCTTTCTTCTTTCAGTATTATAGTGTCGTGGTGGCCCGGAGGTTTAAGACGCCCGATTCTCATGCATGAGGGTGCGGTTTCGAAACCTACAACGGCAAGTACCAATGTGACTTTTTCCGAGTTATATGTACTTTCTAAGATTATCTAGACACCACTGACAAACGGTGAAGGAAAACATCGTGAGGAAACCTGGGCTTATAATTTCTAATTATAAGTCTGTAATCGCCAACCCGCATTGAGCAAGCGTGGTGATTAATGCTCAAACCTTCTCCGTGTGAGAAGAGGCTTTGCTCAGCAGTGGGTATTTATAGGCTGTTGAAGAAAAATTCAATATTCGATTCTCGTCACGTATGTAAAAAAACCTATAACCTACATTTTTGAGGTAATTACCAATAAGGTAAGGACAATTGTCCAATAAAATACATCATCATGAACACTGAGCGCGCAACAAGTGAACTTGTTAACAGAAACAGTACTTACATAAAGTAAGTCATGTTGCAAAATACGCGCCGATCTTGCCGAAAAGAATAGAGCGCGCGTAAGCCCGCTAAGCCGTAACCCGTAAGCGTTTTTATGGTTCCGTCTGTTATTAATGACTGCACGGTTGGTGCGGTGGCTGGGCAACCGGCTGCCGTGCAACGTGTCGCGGTTTCGATTCCCGCACGGAGCAACACTTTGTGTGATCCACAAATTGTTGTTTCGGGTCTGGGTGTCATTGTGTATGTGAACTTGTATGTTTGTAAACGCACCCACGACACAGGAGATAATCCTAATATGGGAAAAGTTAAAAAAAATAAATAAATATTGTGTTGTGTTTTTGTTTCATTTATACAAGGTGTTGTTTTAACGCCGCGTCATTTTCTAGGAGGTAACTCGGCTATCGATTATGAGTCCGATTCAATAAAAAAATAGTAGGTAAATATTTATCATTTTTCTGAAATTACGGAACACCGTAATTGCGAATTACACGCCGCCGTCTTGTAACTAGCTTTATAACGCGGCATAACACACACAAACTCAAACACGTAATTGATATTATTCCTAATTCCATGAAACTCCAATAAGAAACATTGCTGTCGCTTATTCTGAAATACTGTCGAACTTAAACGATTTATTATAGCCGTATTTTTATCTATTGGCCCGAAACTTTCTCTTACATTGAACCTTTATGACTTCTGTGACATGCCCCCGAGATATGTCACGGCTTCAAAACTACACCTTGTATGTCTGTTAGATTCATGTGACCATACACTATTGTGGGTTTGAATCATCATCATCAACAGCCTATAAATGCCCACTGCTGAGCAAAGCCTCTTCTCACACGGAGAAGGTTAGAGCATTAATCACCACGCTTGCTCAATGCGGGTTGGCGATTTCAAACTTATAATTAGAAATTATAAGTCCAGGTTTCCTCACGATGTTTTCCTTCACCGTTTGTCAGTGGTGTCTAAATAATCTTAGAAAGTACATATAACTCGGAAAAAGTCACATTGGTACTTGCCGTTGGTAGGTTTCGAACCCGCACCCTCATGCATGAGAAGTGGGCGTCTTAAACCTCCGGGCCACCACGACATTTTATGGGTTGGTTTGAATATGTCCCTCGTTTAACCTAAAATACTGTAATACATTAACATCCCCTATTTCTTTAGCACAATATACACTTAAATCTCAAGTGGCACTAAAAGTACCACTTTAGATTTTCTTAGCTGAATAGACAGCTTTTTGCCGTGTCCTGTATATTTTTACCTTCAGCTACATTATTCATATATTTCTTATATCCTCCTGCTAATATACCCATGAGAATAATGGCACCAACTGACGCATTTGATTTGAACTTTGATGCACAATCTTCCGGATTCTCCATGTCAAGAGTGTATATCTGGAATTTAATAAATTGAATAATAATTAGATTTGTATTGTTACTTTAGTGAGACATACTAAATAAATTATTATGTTTTCGGCTTACTCACGTAATAATTTGACGAGGAACCCGACTAGTTTCAAGTTTCAGCCTAAATATTAAGGAAACTCTATCTAAGACACTGACCCTTAACAACGTTATGGTTTTTACCGATTTAGAAGTGACACATAACTGTACAAGTAAGGGGATAATTTAGATTCACGCGAAATAACTCTTAGTTGTGGGAGCCATGCGTCGGCACGAATGGACCGGCTCGACCGGAGCAATACCACGGCCGACACAACACTTGCGTTGTGTTTCGTCGTGTGAGTGAGGTTATCGGTGGTCCTCCCCAATCCCTGAAACCCTACAATCCTCAAATTCCTAATCCCCAAAAAGCCTGTAACGTACTTGTAACGCCTCTAGTGTTCCTGGTGTCTGTGGGCGGCACCGATTGCTTACCATCAGGTGATCCGTCTGCTTGTTTACCGGATTATCTCATAAATTCGAATTGAAAACAGTTGAAGGCAAAGCCTACGTTAACGTCGGTCACCGGGGGGAAATCATCCAATGACTTCTCCCGCCTGGGTGAGGCGAGAGAGAGTGTGAGTCTCTTACTGACTAAAAACCACCCCGTTCCTACTCCTGAACTTCGAGCCGGAGCCCCGGTAACCAGTCAAGTCCTCCGCGGCTCCGTGTCAGCCCTATTGGGCCCCATCTGTGGTGGTCTGATGGCATTTTAAACCGTGCGCGGAATGCTCGGCACCGTACGCTCGGGTCTGGTTCTAGTCGAGCGGCGAGCTACTCATGCTCGCCGTCCGCAGGCCCGTGACCGGTGACCCCTATAGCGGTTAACGTGTTAAGATATGGTTAAACTGACCTGTCTAGCAGCATGAGCTACGTAAGCCATTACAGCGAGTTGATACGGTAGGCCCAGCTCTGCAGCTTGTCCAGCTACACTCAGTGATAGTGCGCTCACACCCAGGCACAAGCTCAGCGCTGGACGAGTGTTGGCACCAAATGTTAGAGCTGTTGATTTAACACCAACTTTCATATCATCTTCCTTATCCTGGAACGGTTGAAATTGAGTATTAATATTCAAAATAAAGTAGGCTCTCAGTACCTGTATGTATGTATATATATATATTTGTAAGCATTTTTTTTTAATTCGTTGCCCCACACTAGGATATTCTCCTGTGTCGTGGGTGCGTTTACAAACATACAAGTTCACATACACAATGACACCCAGACCCGAAACAATTGGTGGATGACACAAAGTGTTGCTCCGTGCGGGAATCGAACCCGCGACACGTTGCACGGAAGCCGGTTGCCCAGCCACGGCACCAACCGTGCAGTCGATTATGTTCGATTTTAGTCGATTATTATCGAATTATCTCGCGATTGGCTGAATCGATTTTGATAGGCAGTAACCATTGGTTGTCTAGAGCCGACTGAGTTACAGAAGACATGGCTTCGTTACAAAGCGTATAACTTAATATAACTATAGCTACTGTCTCTGTACTGAATCAATCTTCATTTTTTACCTGCATACTAAATAACTTGGTTAAAAGGGATTATGACGGGGGAAAATTAAAAATCAAATCAGTCCGTCAGTTAGATAATGAAAAAATATTAGACACTTATTTTTTTATTTTGTCGTATAAAAAAACATTACTTGTTCTTATAATTACTGTCGTGAGACATATATAAGTAACCAGAATATTTTAAAACCTCTCTGTAGCTCCAAACTAGTAGAGCTTTTCTCAGTATATTCACGTGAGTAACCCGTGATTTTCAGTCAAAACAATACTTAGATAAAACGAATCAAAGTTTACGAGTGGGAGCGAAAATATCATTTCTACGTATAAAACGTACACAGAAGTGACGTCACGTCACATTTCAAATCAATATATCGTCGAAAGTATTGGTTCCTGTGAGAAAATAAAAAATACGTGTGTAATGTTTTTTAATGATGTACCAGACGGACATTAAAATAAAAATTAAGTCATCTACCCTACAAACGTCTATTATAATTTTATTAATCCTTAATCAGGCACTTTTGAAACGTCAAAAATTGATTTGTCCGTCCGTCTGTCTACAAGTGAAGCTAAGCGCTCGTTCCAAAGTGTAGTTTCGAATGGAGAAAAACGAGCAAAAAACTAAAAAACAATGTTTCTTACATTCTCATTGATACATTATCTGATCCTTTACCTAATGTATACAAGGTGTAGTTTTGAAACCGTGTCATTTCTCGGGGGCATGTCACAGAAGTCATAAAGGTTCAATATAAGAAAAAGTTTCGGGCCAATAGTAAAAAACACGGCTATAGTAAATTGTTTAAGTTCGACAGTATTTCAGAATAAGCGACAATAATGTTTCTTATTGAAGTTTTATAGAATTAGGAATAATATCAATTACGTGTTTGACTTTGTGTGTGTTGAGCCGCGTTATAAAGCTAGTTACACAACGGCGGTGTGTAGTTTGCACTTACGGATTTCCGTAATTTGCAGAAAAATGAAAAATATTTACCTACAATTTTTTATTGATTCGAACTTAGAATCGGTAGCAGAGTTACCTCCTAGAAAATGACGCGGCTTTAAAACAACACCTTGTATATATGAGAACGATGTAAACGTCAATATTTAATGGGTCAAAATATTCTTACCTGATGCGCATAAATAGTATCATATACCACAGTCCATGCTAGCGCTCCTATGTACAGGGGGCCACAGATCGCCAGGTTCAGATCACCCTGTATAGCGCTGTAGCCTAATAGAGCCCCCCAGTTGAATGTGGCTCCCAGAAATATTTGAGGGTAGTTCGTGTAGCGTTTTGCTAAAGGATAGGTTACTACTAGGACTGAAATATAAAAGAAAAGAAAATATTATTATTATTATCACTCCTTTTATGCCTGAAGGGGTAGCCAGAGGTGCACATTACGGTAAAATGTAACACTCATTTTTCACTATTTATGTTATGAGTCCCATGTAATAGGGGGTGAGCCTATTGCCATATACCGGGCACGATTCCAAACTTCGTGTTACTAATGAGAATTTTTATAAAACCCAGTAAAAAAATTTTCCGACCTGGGAATCGAACCCGAGACCCCTTGCCCGGCAGTAACACTTGCGACATCTCGGCCAACGAGACAGTCAGTCTAAAAAATAGGGAGGGAGGAAATTGGGCCTCCGGTATGATCATGGCATCACTTTAGTTGGACCGGCCCATTCGTGCCGAAGCATGGCTCTGCCACACTTAAAATGATTGAAGTGTTTGATGATTATTTTAATAACTAGCTTTTACCCGCGGCTTTGCTCGCGTCACAAAAGGATAAAAAGTAGCCTATGTGACATATACCAATACACACAACGCCATCTATACCAATACTTTTGTTTCCTTCGGGAATATCAAATTTTTCCGGAATAAAAAGTACCCTATTATTTAATCCGGACTTCTAACTTTACGTCTGCAAAAATTCAAAGCAATCGGTTTAGTAGTTATGGCGTGAAAGTGGAACAAACAAACAAACAAACTCACTTTCCGATTTATAATATTAGTAAGGATATACAAGGTATAGTTTTGAAGCCGTGACATATCTCGGGGGCATGTCACAGAAGTCATAAAGGTTCAATGTAAGAGAAAGTTTCGGGCCAGTAGTTAAAAATACGGCTATAATAATAATAATAATAAGCCCGCAGGGCACCTTGAGGCGAGGTGACGAGGTATGGTCATTAGCGATCCCGCGGGCTACCATCATCCCGAGTGCTCCAGGGAGAAGTCACCGTTCCTTCTTCTCCGGCTTGCCTTAATTGGCTGGCTGGAGTGAAAGATGACAAGGAACAGGTCTCCCACCTCTGGCTTGCCTTCATTGGCCGTCCAAAGTGGAGTCGCGAGAGCAGTGAACCTGCTCGGAGGGTAAGAAACTATTCGTAAGTCGCGAGTGGGCCAGGGATGCAGGAGGCTTCGGCTGAAGCAGATGATCTGAGTAGAAAGCGGTGGTAGTTTCTTAACCCTTCAGCCACTCACATTCTCGTTGCCCCTCTGTTGCTATATCTAGCAACCATTCCCGGGGCCCGGTCGGTGAGTTGGCGAGTCTCCGCCTGCCATTTTTACGTGTAAAAATTACATTGTTTCGGCAGGTGTCATAGTCATCCATAGTTCCCAATTTACCAGTCCACAACAACCCATCCATAGCCCTACCTTTTTTTCCATTATTCACAATAGTCCTACACTAACCGGGGACTGTCCTTGGGTGCATTTCCATAGTGCATACAGGGATAGTCGCCGGTTTGTGTCTCCATTACATTTAGATTAAAGTTGTCTAAAGGGCCTCTGCGCAGTTGGCTTCGGCCCCTCGTACGCCTCCCAAATGACCGGGACCCTGTGGTCCCGTGAATGGTAAAGACATACATAATAATAATAAATTTATTTATTATCTCTCTACACAAAGGATAATTTACAGAAATAAGATACAATAATCAGATGCAACCAATGTACTCCTTTGTGAGAGACTGGAGTCCATACTAGGATTCCCTGTGTGACGGATCTCCAGGCTCCCACCTCGGACCAGTTACAGATTACAGATATCCATCATAAATTCGCAGAAGGACAAACCCCTCGATGTAGCAGATATGAAAAATAAAAGAAAATAAACAAAACTCAGAGATACACTGCATACTTGTTACAAAACAAAGAGAAGGAGATTACGTAAACAATCTTTTACATTTTCAAATAATAAATCGTTTAAGTTCGACAGTATTTCAGAATATTGACAATGTTTCTCATTGGAGTTTTATGGAATTAGGAATAATATCAATTACGTGTTTGAGTTTGTGTGTGTTGAGCCGCGTTATAAATCTAGTTACAAGACGGCGGCGTGTACTTCGCACTTACATATTTCCATAATTTCAGAAAAATTAAAAATATTTATCTACAATTTTTTATTGATTTGGACTCAGAATTGATATCCGAGTTACCTCCTAGAAAATGACGCGGCTTTAAAACAACACCTTGCATAGTAAGGATAAAATTAAATATACTCACGCATACTGCTAGCTCCGAGCACGATGCTATAACAATTCAACTGCAGTAACACAGCCAGTGCTAGACTAAGTTGAGCCGCTAAGAACACAACCGCCTGTGTCTCAGACACCGCGCCTGTCACTAAGGGACGGGACTTCGTCCTTTCTACCTGGAAATATACCATTATCATCACAATGGATAGGAGGCACGCACCTCTTTGTGCTCCGGTAGCAAACAGTAACTACAGGCAAAACTCATTCTTGTGTCGAGCCTGTTGTACTTTTAACGACATCAGTAGCAAGCATGATGTAGATATCTTTTGTACAAGCCTGAGAAAACTAGGGGTATGATTAGTGGAGACTTTTTTAATAGCTGATTTTTGTTTTTTTTTTATTTGAAATATGTATTCACCTTTCTTTTTTGTCTTTATATAAATAATTTTCTTGCTGTGTGCCTGTTTTTGATGTATTTATAATTTTTATTTTGTCTTAGCTGTTACCTATTAAGTCAGTATTCGTGTGAATCTGTAAGTGGCTCAATGTTACTATTTTTCTGCTAAATGTATGTAATGTAGCTGTTGATTCACCATTCAATAAATAAATACATAAACAATCAACAGCCTATACTACTTCGTCGCGGGAACCAAGACAGTTGTTCATGTCCCTGAGACGTTGGAGTTCAGTGTTCCTGTGTTTGTATGGTTGTATCTACTGTAGATCCTGGTGCACAGGAGTTGCAGCGGTTTTGGGAGGTTACGGCGGGTTGGCCCTTTTAAAAAAAGCCTATACTACTTAATATTATAGGACGGAGCACGAGACGTTCACGCTGGCTCCGTCTGGTGGGTGGAGTGGTTTCTTTCTTTCTTTCTACAATTCCCCCCTGCTGACCAAAGGTCTCTTCTCACACGGAGAAGGTTTGAACATTAATCACCACACTTGCTCAATGCGGGTTGGCGATTTCAAACTTATAATTAGAAATTAGGTATAAGCCCAGGTTTTCTCAGGATGTTTGAAACTTCCGGGCCACCACGAAGATTATAACTACACTGGTTGTTGCCCGCGACTTCGTCCGCGTAGAATATGAGTTTTAGGATGTAACTTTTTTATGTTTCAATTTTCCAAAATAAAAATAGCCTATGTTACTCCTTAGTACATCAGCTACCTGCCAGTAAAAGTCCCGTCAAAATCGGTCCAGGTATTTTAGAGATCAAAGCCAGTTAGCCAGTTCAAAATAAACAAACAGATAGACAGACAAACATTTAAAAAAATGTAATTTTGGTATTAGTATCGTAGATGTATATTCATATGCATGTAGTAAAAAGCGGTTATTTTAATATTACAAACAGACACTCCAATTTTATATCTGTATATAGATATAAATACAAAAAAAAAATACTAATATTATAAAGCTGAAGAGTTTGCTTTTTTGCTTGTTTGTTTGAACGCGCTTATCTCCGAAACTACTGACTCGAATTGAATAATTATTTTTGTGTTGAATAGTGCATTTATCGACGAAGGCTATAGGCTATAAAACATCTCGCTACGAACAATAGGAGCCGAGCAGATCGGGTGAAACCCAGCTACTTGCAGCTAGTTTAGTATATAACATATTTTAAGAAAATAAACCCTACCTTGGCATCAACATCCCTGTCCCACATATCATTAATAGTGCACCCGGCGCCCCTCATCAGTCCAGCGCCCACCAGGAACAGTCCGGCCGTCTGTAACGACGTCTGTAGAGGGACCGTCCCGGGAACCGAAGCCATTGCTATTGACCACGCACAGGGCCAGTACAGTAGGTATATTCCTAAAAAACATGTAACAAATTAAGAATTACTCTATTTATTTAGACTTTCCGAGACAAAGGGGCTTACTCTTGAATCCAATTCCGATCGATCGACATTGATATAATTTTGTCGTACTCTTGAGTTGCAACACTAGCGCCCATTGCATCCGTATTGCGTGGATATTGAATGAACTAGACGGTATTGAGTTTGGCTTTATATTCCGTACTCTGAATGCTATTGTAACAGCTACGATTGTGGTTGTATAGTGTTGACATTGAATAATTATTGAGATTTTATTGGATTGAAATTGCATTGACGGCCGTACAGAAAACCGACGTGAAACAACATTTGTGTTGTGTTTCGTCGTATGAGTGAGGTTACAGGAGGCCTAATAACCCCCCCCTCTCCTCAATCTCTGAATCCCCCACAATTCTCAAATTTCCAATTCCCAAAAGGCCAGTAACGCACTTGTAACACCTCTGGTGTTTCGTGTGTCCATGGGCGACACCGATTGCTTTAAATTAAAATTTAACACATGACATAACATAACATCACGCCTTTTATTCCCGAAGGGGTAGGCAAAGGTGCACATTATGCCATTGTACAATGTAACACCCACTTTTCACTATTTATGTTATGAATCCCATGTAATAGGGGGTGAGCCTATTGCCATATACCGGGCACAATTCTAGACTCCTTGCTATTACTGAGAATTTTTAAAAAACCCAATAACACTTTGCCCGTCCCGGGAATCGACCTCGAAATGCCCGGCAGTCGACCTTCCGACCACTCAACCAACGAACAGCAAAATAAAAATTTAAAAACTTACCAATAGGTTTATCCCATCTTGCTAATTTCAAATACGGGTTAATATTCTCTTTCCAGAATCCGGAACCTAATTCTATATGTCTACGGTCGGGTAAAACCTTTTCTTCTAACTTTTCATAGACAATCTTCGGTGATGTCGTCTCTATGACAACTTTTTGTCTATGTTGATCACTTTGTGTTGAATGTACTCGAGTAATTTCATATTTATGTGGTATATTTTTTAAATATACTTGTCCGCATAGACAGGAGTATGTCCGTGGAACGCTGACTTTCCGTTTAGCATTCAACAATATTGTTCGTTGTATTAATGTTTGTAATTGTGTTATTTTGTACATTTTTATACTATTGTTTAACATTTTTTGGTATTTGGTGGGTGTTCACAGCTCTGGTTTCTGAAAAAATAAAGAAGATTAATTAGACATAGAATTATTTTTTATAAAATATTTTGTAATAACACAGTGGTGTAGCGTGCCTTGGTGCCCCGTATAAAAAATTGTTTAGGGGCCCTTGAAGGGTAAACATTATTTACAAGACATTTTTTTACACAAAATACTTATAATTTTTGTGAAAACCAAAAATCTTTTCAGCCAACTCCGTCTGCCCTAATTAGCGGTCCTTAATTACTTTTAGTTTTCTTAAGTTTCTGCCAACCTTTGAAGGCATGCTTTCCGTGGAAAAAACGTTTATTTTGACTTTTGTGATTACTGAAATATAATAAAAATTGGGAAGCTTCTATAAATTTTTGCTTAGGCACGTTGGGGGCCCCTGTAGTTCGGGGGCCCCGTATAATTGATACGGCAGATACGGCGCTAGGTACGCCCCTGTAATAACATAATCTATATAATTAACGTTTCTTATATTACTTAGGCTAGGCGCTGGCACAAAATGTTCTGGTAGCCCTGAGGTGTAACACACCCGATTCTCATGCATGAGGGTGCGGGTTCAAAACCTACTAACGGCAAGTACCAATGTGACTATTCCTGAGTTATATGTACTTCCTAAAATTATTTAGACACTACTGACAAACGGTAAAGGCTAATTTTAACTCAGTTTGATATAGCCAACCCGCTTTGAGCATGCATAGTGATTATTTTAATATATTTTTCTTTATATTATTATCAGAACAATTGTGCTTTTGTGTCTAACACATACATAATGTAATAGGGAGCACACATCATTATAATTTCAAAACTGGAACTTGTTGTATGGCACCGACGTTGAACTTAAACTTTATGATTAGCATTGCAAATAAATATTCTAAAGGTAGGCAAAGATGTCTGGGAATTTTATTACCGACCAATAACATTTTCTCCACAGCGAATTGAGACTAAACCCCATAACCCGTCGCGAAGGACACTCCGGGCGTCGGGGATCGCGGGACGGACTCCGGCCACCCTAAGTGCGAGCTTAACGGGCGACGAGCATTGGTAGGTCCAGGTCCCGACCAGAACCAGACACGAGCGTGCGGCGCGTCGCGTTCCGCGCGCTTCTCAAAGAGCCATCAGGCCACCACGGATGGGGCCCCAATAGGGCTGATGCCGCTACGGAGCCGCGGAGAACTTAACGGGTTACTCCGGCTCGAAGTGTGGGAACAGGGTGGGAACAGGGTGGATTTTAATCAGTAAGAGTCTAAAAACTAAGGCGGGAAAAGTAATCCAATGATTTCTCCCCTTAAAAAACCCCATAATAACAAATTATTGTTATGAGAAGAGCTATCTAACGACATACATCTGGTTGTTATTGGTTGGTTACATTCGGCCTTATAATATTAAGTAACTAGTGAGATAGTTGGATAAATGAACAATAGGGGAGAATGGAAAAAGACATATTATATATAAGGATTAAGTCAAATAGTTTGATGCAGGGACTGAATAACCGGATAATTATGGTGCATTTAAATTGATGTATGTCATCATACCGATATATAAAGTGTACCGTTTTATTTCCATATTAAAATTTTTCAGTATCATTATTTTTAGGAGGCCCGTGTCCAGCAGTGGACGTCTTTGGCTGAAGAAGATGATGATGATGATTATTTTTGGGTACCAAAATATGAAAACCGTTATATTTCAGTACTGGTACACTAATAATAAAGGTATAAAAGAGATATTGACTGTGTTAGTTCATCTATCCTATTTCTATTTACAGGCTGACAGGCGCATACTTGCTGCTGTTTCGCACTAACATATATATTATATAAAATTAAAAATAGTTTATATATTCGCACCATACTCCTCACACATTTCCCTTTACATTCTGCAATGGACAAATTTAAGTTTTCGGTATAAATATTGCATAAACATGTTAAACAACAGTAACAGCTTTAATTTCAGTATAATTATTTTATACCGGTACTGTGATGTTACATCTTAATCACTTTCATCACCTGGATTAATTGAGTTTAGTGTTAACAAAAAACATTAACATTAATAACATAAGGTGCTGGCACAATATACAGATATAGTATGTTTTCTAAATGAGGAAATTGTATAAAATATTTGAAAACATTTATAGATTTACTCCATATAATTAAGGACAAACACTTCTTGAATTAAGTCCCTTGTACGATATTCCAAACAATACACAATTTTTCCATAAATTTTAATAACAATACCGAGCAAAGCAAGAAAGAATTCAATGCTTATTATAAAACCACTTAGCAAAATAATACCCAAAACAACAAAAACTCACCTCTATAACCTTAATTATTATTACAGAACGACAAATGAGTCGCAATTTAAAGTAATTCGACACTTATTATACAAAATTATGAACTTGAACGTATCATATTGTTTTTTTTTCAAAGGTTAATGTCAATTTCAAGGACTTTTACACAATTGTACACGGTTTTGTGTAAGGGTACACTTGGGATAGACTTTGTACTGTAATAGGAAGATGTTTTCATGAAAATAATTAGATATATTAGTTACATAAAATTAAAATCCCGACATAACTCAACAAAAGCAATGTGCCGTCAGTGCCGTGCCGCTCGTGACATTCATTGACAGTTGATTGATAATGGTTGACAATGACAGTGTTGTTTTCGTTTAGAAATAAATATTAGTTTTTAAACACATTCAACCTTTTTAAGCAAATATTTATAAATTAAACTTGTTTTGAACTCATTAGACTATGATACTAGACTAGTATAATTAGATTCATGATATAAAAATGCCAAGCACATATCATATTTTTTTTAATTACTAAAATAATTTGAAGGAGAAAATCAAGGGCTGTCACTTTTTGTTTAGACAATGTTGACTTCAAACTAGAATTTCAGAACGAATTACTGAATGTCAATTTGTCAAATTGAGAAAAGAAATATTGGATAGATTTATATTACCCACCCTGCGGGATTTTAATAAATATTTTGTTATTTCACTAAGTGTTTAATAACACTTTGTTTCGTTTAAACAGTTTAAGATGTCCCGCTTACTTTTTTCCCTAATAGGTTATCATTCAGTCTTGAGAATATAATTTTTTTAAGGTAAGTTAAAAAAAAATTTGGTTGTTTTTTTTTGCATCTACCGGCAGAAAAAAAATAAAGTGTTGTAATAGTGCAATCCCGATAATTCCGAAATCTATTATATTTTTATAAAAAAAACGATTGTAAGTCTCCTAGTTTCTTAGATAGCCTTTAAAATATGTTAAATTAAGTCTAATTTTAAACATATTTGTAAACAATCACTTAGTTACTATAGCAATTAGGTCAGTCTTTACACATTTTTCTTTATCTATATCATTATCATCATCAACAGCTTATTATGAATGTCCACTACTGAGCATATAGGTATGGCACCTTCTCACACAGTGGTTTTCCGCATCTACACAATATAAATACATAGCAATGAGTTAGTTACCTTTAGTTTTCTTTTATTTAATTTTTATCTTTTAGTTATAGTGTCTCTTAAACTGTCAAACACCGCGGTTCACACACTGGTGACCGGTGACTGCAACCTATTGTTCTTTAATTGTGTCTATAATGATGATACTCAAAGAGTTAAGTTGTACATATTCATTAATTTTTTCCTTTCCTTATGTTGTATATATCTCAGTTTTAATAAAAAGTTTGAACATACTAGCAGTGTCTTATAAATCTTTTGAAAAAAGATTTTTTTATTATGATGGAAATCATGATTTTTCCCACCTTAGGTGAGGTAAGGGAGTGTCAGACTCTTACTGACTAAACACCACCCCATTCCTTCTCCTGCACGCCAGAGTTATGGCAACCTATTATCCTCAAGCGGTCACCGGTGACCGCTCTCCACTAACTACATTATAGACCTTATTTCCAGTGTTTAGATACTACTTTTGTATGAACAAATTTAGGGGATGAATTTCAACGGGTTAAGTCCTCCGCGGCTCCATATCGGTCATCAGCCCTACTGGGCCCCATTTGTGGTGAATATAGATCCATTTACCGCTTGAATGCACCAATATGAGACACAATAGAAAATACATTGTGTCATGCGTGGATCCACGTTTAGACATTCAATTAAATTAAACGGGTTTTGACACGGGTTAACTTATCATTTATATTTTATTTCAGGTACTGCTAACCTAGAACAGTTGTAGCATTTAGACCAAAATGAGGGAGACTAGGAAGAAACCTAGTGCACCTGCTACACCTAAGATAAAACCCAAACAAACTGAGTTCTCTTGTCCAGAATGTAAGAAGGTAAGCAGAAATTTCTTTTTCCTTCTCTAAGTAATAATATCTTCAGATTTATTTCGTTGCGGGATTTTTCATGTCCAGGGGACGTGGGACTTCAGTGTACAGGTGTTTTCATGGTTATATCTACTGTAGATCCTGGCTTACAGGAGTTGCAGTGGTTTTGGGAGGTTGTGGACATGTCTCATAAAACAAGCAACATTATTGTTATCAGTATCTTTGCCGCCTTTATTTTTGAAATGACCCAATAGGGTAGTTTCCTAAATTTTATTTTAATGTCCGTCTGGTAGTTTATTTTAAAACATTAGGCACATAATTTTTCTGTTCTCACAAAATTAAATGCTTTTGGTGATATATTGATTTGAAATGTCGCGTGACGTCACAGCGTGCTGCAAAATGTACCACGTTCTGACGTAATTACCTCCCACTCCTAAACTTAACGCCATTTTATTTAAGTATTGTAACTTTATACGAGACAATAAAAAATATGTGTCTAATTTTTTTTCATTATCTAACTGACGGACTGATTGGATTTTGAATTTTCTTACCCTGGAAACTACCATATTATATGTACGGAGTCTGGAATTGTGCCCAATATATGGCAATAGGCTCACCCCCTATTACATGGGACTCATAACACAAATTACATTGTGTTATATTGTACAGTGGCATTAACTTTTTGTACCTGACTGTCGGAAGGATACCCAGACCTACCAAAGGCGGGATTGTACATTGTGTATGAATTTATGTATTGGAGAGTACATGTAACTTTTTATTTTTTTTTTCTTTTAACAGACATTCACAGACTCGTCAGGCCTACACTGTCACAGGAAACTACACACAAACAAAATGCCATTCAAATGTGAGCTCTGTGACTATAAGTGTAAGATCAAGAAATACTTGACACGACATATGAAGAAGACGCACACTGAACCGACGGAACATCAATGTGATATTTGCGGGAAATGTTTCCATTTTTCTTGTAAATTAAGAGACCATATGAGAGTGCATACTGGTGAGTGATAAAGATCCTTACTAATATTATAAATCTGAAAGTGAGTTTGTTTGTTTGTTTGTTCCACCTTCACGTCGTAACTACTCAACTGATTGCTTTGAATTTTTGCAGACGTAAAGTTAGAAGTCCGGATTAAATAATAGGGTACTTTTTATCGCGAAAAAATTTGATATTTCCGAGGGAAAACAAAAGTATTGGTATAGATGGCGCTGTATGTATTGCTATATGTCACATAGGCTACTTTTTATCCTTTTGTGACGCGAGCGAAGCCGCGGGTAAAAGCTAGTATAGAATAACATAACAAAGTTATTTTACACAGACAAACTAGAAACATCGATAGACATTACAATTCTTCAGAAGCAAGCCGCCATTCACACAACAATCATTCTTAGCAAAGTATTAGGAGACACAGTTTTCGTTACAAACATTCCAGATTCCGATCAATTATAACCATCACCGTAACCGTCGTGGTGGCCCGGAGGTTTAAGACGCCCACTTCTCATGCATAAGGGTGCGGGTTCGAAACCTACCAACGGCAAGTACTAATGTGACTTTTTCCGAGTTATATGTACTTTCTAAGATTATTTAGACACCACTGACAAACGGTGAAGGAAAAACATCGTGAGGAAACCTGGACTTATAATTTCTAATTATAAGTTTGAAATCGCCAACCCGCATTGAGTAAGCGTGGTGATTAATGCTCTAACCTTCTCCGTGTGAGAAGAGGCTTTGCTCAGCAGTGGGCATTTATAGGCTGTTGATGATAACCATCACAAGCACACACACCACATACCACTCAATCAACCATCACACAAAACTCACAATCCACAACTGGCATACAAACTACACCCATACAAAATTCAGAACCACACACAGACAGAGTCATTAGTCAAGTAGTCAGCAGAAGAGAAAGAAGGAGATTTAGAAACCAAATTTAGAAGGGGGCTATGAGCATCGTTTTTCCTGCGGGTCGCGGGACGCGGTTCCCATTTTCACCGGGTCAACCCCGAGAAGGAGAAACCTCCTAAATACACATGTTATTTATATCTTTAGTTATATATATCTTAAGAATAACATGTTATGACTGCCTCGTTGGCCGAGTGGTTCGCAAGTGCGACTGCCGGGCAAGGGGTCTCGGGTTCGATTCCCGAGTCGGGCAAATTATTACTGGTTTTTTTTTAATCCCAGTAGTAGCACGGAGTCTGGAATTGTGCCCGGTATATAGCAATAGGCTCACCCCCTATTACATGGGACTCGTAACATAAATAGTGAAAAGTGAGTGTTACATTATACAGTGGCATAATGTGCCTATAGGTACCCCTTCGGGGATAAAAGGCGTGATGTTATGTAAAAGAATAGAATAATCTTTGTTGTACACAATTAATAATATAGTAAGTATGTATATTTTTTATGGAATAAGCCGGTAAACGAGCTGACTGATCACCTGATGGTAAGCATTTGGCGTCGCTCATTGACACCTGGAACACCAGAGGCATTCCAAGTGCCAGCTTTTTGGGGATTAGGAGTTTGAGGATCGTTGGGTATTCAGGGATTGGGGAGATTGGGGAAGGGGAGGGTAATTGGGCCTTCGATAACCTCACTCACACGACGAAACACAACGCAAGCGTTGTTTCAAGTCTGTTTTCTGCTCGGCCGTGGTATCACTCCGGTCGAGCCGGCCCATTCGTGCCGAAGCATGGCTCTCCCAGTCTCCCACACTATGAAATTGAGACACAAAGTATAAAAAAAATAATGTTGTTGAATTGAAATGAAAAAAGCTTGTAAATGCCCATTTATAGGCTGTTGATGATGATGATGATGATGATGAATGCTAAATATTCGTTTTAATATGTTTTTTCGTAATGTCGTGGTGGCCCGGAGGTTTAAGACGCCCACTTCTCATGCATGAGGGTGCGGGTTCGAAACCTACCAACTGCAAGTACCAATGTGACTTTTTCCGAGTTATATGTACTTTCTAAGATTATTTAGACACCACTGACAAACGGTGAAGGAAAAACATCGTGAGGAAACCTGGGCTTATAATTTCTAATTATAAGTTTGAAATCGCCAACCCGAATTGAGCAAGCGTGGTGATTAATGCTCTAACCTTCTCCGTGTGAGAAGAGGCTTTGCTCAGCAGTGGGAATTTATAGGCTGTTGATGATGTGTTTGTTGTTGTTGTTGATGTGTGAATATGTTTTTTCTGTTTGCAGGTGAGAAGCCACATAAATGCGATGTGTGCGGCAAAGCGTTTAGTTCAACATATTCGTTGAACGGACACAAATTGATACATACTGGTAAGTAGTCTTTATCATCTTACGAATATTATAAACTAGCTACTTCCGTGCGGTTTTACACGCTCTGCTCACCTCCTGTTGGTCGTAGCGTGATGTTTTATAGCCTACTAGCTTTTACCCGCGGCTTCGCTCGCGTCACCAATACACATAGCGCCATCTATACCAATACTTTTGTTTTTCCTCGGGAATATCAATTTTTTCCGAGATAAAAAGTATCCTATTATTTAATCCAGACTTCTAACTTTACTTCTGCAAAAATTCAAAGCAATCGGTTTAGTAGTTACGGCGTGAAAGCGGAACAAACAAACAAACAAACTCACTTTCCGATTTATAACATTAGTAAGATATCAATAAATGCACTATCCAACACAAAAAGAATTATTCAAATCAGACTTGTAGTTACGGAGATAAGTGCGTTCAAACAAACAAACAAACAAAAAGAATAACTCTTCCGCTTTATATGTATAATAGTGTGGCGACGCATATCACATGTCAACGGATGACGTCACAAGAATCCTACATCGCACATGCAAAGTTTACAAGCGAATAAACACGGATAGAAAATCCCAACGTACAACTGTTGGGCAGAAAGCCCGCCAGGCACGATCACCTCGCCTGGTCGGAGGATCCTCCTTTTCCGATCTTAGGGAACTATACTCTCCCTCTAACTTTCACATCTTACATCTTATACTATTTTATCCCTAAAATAGTATAAGATGTAAAAAAATAGTATAGTATAAGATTGTAAGATGTGAAAGTTTATATATTTGTCTGTATGTTTATTACTCAATTGCGTCAAAACGACTGAAGGGATCAGGATGAACAGTACAGTTGCCGGACCCGGGAATCGAACCCGAGACCCCTTGCCCGGCAGTCGCATTTGCGACCACTCGGCCAACGAGGCAGTCCAGTTCATTATATTTTCATAGAAAATTAAAAATATATAAAACTCTAAATGTGACGATGTCTGAGTAGCAATTGAAAACGTCTAAATAGAAAAATGGCGAGGAGAGCGGGGTGAGGGCGGCGGGGGTGCTTGTACTTGACTGTAGTAAAATGGCGAGGGGAGCGGGGTGAGGGCGGCGGAGGTGCTTGTACTTGACTGTAGTAAAATGGCGAGGGGAGCGGGGTGAGGGCGGCGGGGGTGCTTGCACTTGACTGTAGTAAAATGGCGAGGGGAGCGGGGTGAGGGCGGAGGGGGTGCTTGCACTTGACCTATTTACGAGGGCATCCCTCAATCCGTCGTTCGCTTTGATGCGCTTACGTCGCCGTCGTCGTGTCTTGTAGCGAGATTCGGTAGTGCGGACGTAATAATTATTATCTTTACATAGCTTTTACCCGCGGCTTCGCTCGCGTCACTAAAGGATAAAAAGTAGCCTATGTGACATATACCAATACACACAGCGCCTCTATACCAATAATTTCGTTTTGCCTCGGGAATATCAATTTTTCCGGGTTAAAAAGTACCCTATTATTTAATCCGGACTTCTAACTTTACGTCTGCAAAAATTCAAAGCAATCGGCTTAGTAGTTACGGCGTGTAAGTGGAACAAACAAACAAACTCACTTTCCGATTTATAATGTTAGTAAGGATGGTGGCATATCGATATTCCAATGTCGAGTACACGCAAATGGGGCGAATGTTACAGACAACTAAAAATTCATTAGTAGTTTGTTTTTATTATGGTCTTTAGTGGGGAGGTACCCTAAAATAACAAGGTTATTTCCACATCTTTTTTTTTTTTGAGGGGGGAAATCATCCAATGACTTCGCCCGCCCCGGTGAGGCGGGAGGGAGTGTCAGACTCTTACTGACTAAAAACCACCCCGTTCCTACTCCTGCACGTCGAGCCGGAGCCCCGGCAACCCGTTAAGTCTTCCGCGACTCCGTATCGGCTATATTCCACATCTAATGTCAGATTTTAGGTATCCTTTAGCATTTGCTTAAAAGGGCGGGAATCGTAGCAAAGCCACTCATTAACCCAAAAGTTCTGATTGCACCACAGAAATGTTAAAAGAGTTATTTCTTTAATATATTTGTGGATTGCACCCTGTACTTTTAGCTTTAACTTGACCCGTGAATTAATAATTTAATATTTCATTGTTTTCCTTTCATTTAACTTGTGAAGTTTGTTAGAGAAATTTCATCCTTATTGACCTTAACAATCTATGCAATAAATGTACAAGGTGCAACTTTTACAGAATTTAGTCGGTCCGATTACCATGTGCGGCAAGCGAATTTTTGAAAATTTTTAAATGCAGTTCTGTTTCTTTTCAAAAATAAAGCAATGTTGTCTTTGAGTAAAATTTTCTATCTTAAGTATTAAGAATACTTCCTCTTCAGGTGGCATTACAACATTCCACCCTGTATAATATTATTAACACATCGATACTATTTATCCCCCGGGAACACGCGAGTTTGATAAGTAGGTATATTCGAAACGAGTACACGTTCGGCGCTGTGATTGGCCGGTGCCAATGAATCAACCAATCAAAGAGCCGAACGCGGTCTCGTTTGAAAGAAAGAAAGAAAGAAAAAACATTTATTTGACAATTGGCACACAAAACAAAGATTATAAAAAAAAAATTGGTTGCCTGTAAAGTCGGTATACGGGCGAAAGTTCTACGTGACAACGACTTTGAGTGGTAAAATAATTTTAATGTGAATATTCAGCGCAAGACATGAACAGGTGTGTATGCCTATCTCTCTCACTCTCTCTCTCTCTCGCTCTGTCTCTCTCGCTCTTAGGCGGGCTAACTGTGCTCGAGTGGAAGGGACGCGTGCCTTTCACTTTTTATGTCTGTCTCTCTCGCTCTTAGGCGGGCTAACCATGCCCGAGTGGAAGGGACGCGTGCCTCTCACTCGCTCTCATTGTGAGCGCATAACGTGAGCGGAGCGTAACGCAGTTTCTCGAAGTGTCACCCGGCAAACCAATTTATAAGACGTTGTCACGTCAAAATAAAAATACAGATATATAAACAAAATACTAATAATAAACTTAAAAGAATAGAGATCAGAACAAAAAACATCACAGTGTAACAAAATAATCATTATATATATAATTCTTCTGTGAGTGTGTATGTCACTGAACTTCTCTCAAACGACTGTACCGATTTTGATGAATTTTTTTGAGTGTGTTCAAGGGGATCTGGGAATGGTTTAGATTCACAAATCAGCCTGGCAGATGGCGCTGCAGTCGATGTTTAGATTATTTATCCTAAACAGCTGAACTAATTTAAATGATTTTTGTTTATACATTCAAGTGGATATGCAGGACAACGTCTGTTGGGTCCGCTAGTATAATATAATTCTTTCTAAATATTCTTCGTTCATTTCTTTACTGATGCACACTTCTGGTTTTACACATTGGCCGTGGTTTTCTACATATCTGAAAGAAAATACAATAAAATAACTGTACAGTACCTTCCAACTATAGTCAGAATTTTAATTAGATTCCAGATTTGACAGTGGCTACTGTCATTTTGTGCAGTTTGTGTTGTTGCACACAAAAATCGATAAACAATCAGTGTGTGTGTTTTATAATAAATGTTACAGAAAGTGACAGGATAGCAATAAAGATGACGGTGACAATTTATAAAATAACTAATTTACCATAATACATCTATCTGTTTTATTTGTCATGTTCCTTCATGATTACATTTTTTTATTTATTTCACACATAATTATAAAAGAAAAGTCTCAGATCGTTAATTAATCGTCAAAACCAAATTATCGGTTCAGAAATATTAATTTCCTGATATACTTAGTTTACGAGAGTAAAATTATAAACGAGAAAAATCGATCCAGAAATATTGCATTTCCATATCGAATAATTTCGCAACGTCACTATTTAGTACTTGTCTTTTGTTACTTGTCATAACGTTGCAACACTGAAATTGTCAAATCTGGAATCGAATTAAAATTCCGAGTATAGGCTATTCTATAATTAGGTACTTTCCTTAATCAAAAATAAATTATTTCAACTGTTCAATACAATGAAATATTAAAAAATAATCACACTTTCATTAATTGATTTTATGACCAACTTCATTTTAGTGTTTTTCTATCAATTTTTAATGGAATAATAAAAACAATGGTAGACAATTACAAACATCACGCTAACGTTGACTTTGACAGACTGCTGACGTTAAATAGTTCCTTTCTACGTAAAAGTATTTTTTTTTAAATTTTTTTTTTAAGGGGGGAAAATCATCGAATGACTGCTCCCGCCTGGGTGAGGCGGAAGGGAGTGTCAGACTCTTACTGACTAAAAACCACCCCGTTCCTTCTCCTGCACGTCGAGCCGGAGCCCCGGTTACCCGTTAGGTTCTCCGCGACTCCGATTCTACGTAAAAGTATAAAAATCCTTTGTTGCTTAATACAAGTTTCATAAAAAAACTGACTGCCAATAGAAAACTGATGAAGGCAAATCCTCCGCTAACGTCGGCCACCAGTGACCCCCACGGCGTTTAATGTGTTAATTAATTTTGTGACCAGTTTAATTTTAGTATATTTCCAGCAAATTTTTAGGATATAAGTATACTGTTTGACGCTAAAAACCGTGACGTAACAATACACAATCTCGTACTAAATTTATAGATAACTGTCGTTTTTGTCAGTTCGAAAAAAGTATTGAATTTGAATAGTTGGCAAGTACCCAATTGTAAATTGTGAGCTCGATCGCTTTCTCACCCCTTATTGGTCGTCCAATTAGGCTATTCTATAACTGTTAGCTTAAACTTTCAAAGTGAAATCGATCATATTCTCGCCCCTTATTGAATGAACGAAAGTCGACTTGGGGGTGGATATAATTAAAACACTGCACTGAAATTCTTATCGCGTATAATAATTACAATGCTTGCTGCTCACACTATAAAAATAAATTCCCCGTACCCTATATAAATTCCGGTTACGAAACCATAGCGTCATCTAACTCGATCCCAACGCCATCTATCGAGCGCTGGGACAACTCGTGTTAATATGAATAGGGTAGTATCCTAAATTATATTTTAATGTCCGTCTCGTAGATTATTTTAAAACATTAGACACGTATTTTTTATTTTCTTACAGAAACGAATACTTTCGACGATATATTGATATGAAATGTCGCGTGACGTCACTTCTATCAACATTTTATACATAGAAATGACGTTTTATACAACAAAATAAAAAAATACGTGTCTAATACTTTTTCGTTACCTAACATACGGACTAATTAGATTTTTAATTTTCATACCCTGTCATCATCCCAAGTGTGAATGACAACAATGTAACACCAAAATCCAGTCAAAGAGATCGAAAAGATCAATATTCCCCAGGCGTTTTCCCTTCTCTAAATTCCGGTAACAAATAAACTTGATTACTTGACTGCACGGTTGGTGCGGTGGCTGGGCAACCGGCTGCCGTGCAACGTGTCGCGGGTTCGATTTCCGCACGGAACAACACTTTGTGTGATCCACAGATTGTTGTTCCGGGTCTCGGTGTCATGTGTATGTGAACTTGTATGTTTGTAAACGCACCCACGACACAGGAGATAATCCTAGTGTGGGGCAACGTTTTTTAAAAAGAAAAAAAAAGAAAGAAAGTCGATAGCTTACCCAACTTTACAATAACATCCAGGTAAATATATAGTCAAGCACATAGTTCCTTTTAATCTAATGAGTTTTTTATTAATCCTTGCTTCGTGGTACCTTAGCGCTGTCTTCATATGTGGGATTACGTTTGTAAAATCCAAGTTTAATCTGCGAGTTTGGTCTCTGTCTACCGTTTCTAGTATCTCCTAAAAATATATATATGTTATATCATAACTGACTGTCTCGTTGGCCGAGTGGTCGCAAGTGCGACTGCCAGGCACGGGGTATTACTGGGTTTTAAAAAAAATCTCAGTAGTAGCACGGAGTCTGGAATTGTGTCCGATATATGACAATAAGCTCACCCCCTACTACATGGGACTCATAACATAAATAGTGAAAAATAGGTGTTACATTGTACAGTGGCATAATGCAGTGGCATAGTGCACCTCAGCCTACTACCCCCTTCTATTCCCTTCGGGGATAAAAGGCGTGATGTTATGTTATACATATGTATATCATAACTTTCGTGAGACATACTAAATTACTTATTATCCTCTTGTCCGTTGAAAGTTGCGGGTATAATGTGTTTTATACCGGGAGCCGATGTTTCAACAGATTAAAGGTTATGTTTTTCGGCTTACTCACGTAATTATTTGAAGAGGAACTCGACTAGTAGCAGCGCGACAGTCGGCGGCGTCGCGGGTCGCAGAATACTGCTCATGAGTGAGCCTCTACCATGGCTTTAAGTAGTCGAGTTCCTCATCAAATAATTACGTGAGTAAGCCGTAAAATATATACATGTCTGAACGTTGCCTCATGACGTCGCCACGTAATCAAATTTACTGTAATCAGCTGCTGTAGCCAAATGCCATTTAGCGCTTGTCTACATGTAGAACCGAAAACCAAATTATATGGAATTGACGTAAATTTTGACACTTGTCAGTGTCATCTCCATACATTTAGTTTTCTACTCTCTCTGTAGACAAGCCCTAAAGTGGCGTTTGCCACGTGCTGTCGAACTTGTCGCGTTCTCCATTTTGATAATCATTGAATCCGATATTTAAAAATGGCTGATAATACATCCCCCGAGCTCCCGTCATATAAATAAGGACTTGAGTACACTGGCCCAATAGGGCTATTTTTTTTTGCTCAACAGGGAACACTAATGTGCATAAGACCCGTTCAGCTAGTGTCAAACTATTAGGCGTATATCCATATCTATCCCCATCATATAGATGGTTGGCTGGCTACAACTGTGCGCTGCACTCGTAGCTTTCTGCCTCGCACAGCAAAACTGTGGAATGATCTGTCGTCGGCGGTATTTCCGAACCGATACGACTTTCAATCCTTCAAGAAAATAGCGTAGGTATTCCTTTTTAAAAGGCCGGCAACGCACCTGTGACTCCTCTTGCGGGTGTTCATGGGCGGCGCTGATCGCTTACCATCAGGTGATCCGTTTGCTCTTTTGCCATAAAAAAGTTCAATATTTTGCCAGCTACCTAGAGTAATTGGACAAATTGTCGATACGCCAAAAACGGTAGAACTCATCGTCCAAAAGGCCTGCAAGGTGCAACTTATCTGGTGTTGCTGAAGTCCCTGGGTGGTGTTAATTGCTTATCATCCGGTGATCTGTATGCTCGTTTGCCACCCAACGCCTTACAAAAGGAGACCCAGTTTTCGTAAGTACATAATCATATAGTGGCATTAAGTTCGCCTTATGTGCCATAATTAAATTGTGTACATTGAAGACTAAATAATTGGAAATTACCAACTCCCCTTTCCACGCAGTTCTACGTCCCACTAGTGCCACCTGGTGAATACAAACTTGAAACTCATAAAAATACTCACCCTCGTCATCTTGTCATCGAACTGATATTTAAGATCGGCGTGTCTATTCAAAAACTTCTTAAAATGCGCTAAAACGTCAGCTCTTTTAGACAATTTTCTCCTACACTTTTCCTGATAGAACTTTTTGTAGAAATCGTCACTGGTTTTATACGATTTTGTGTTTTCACATTCAGCTGTCAGTCTAACTGTCATTTTTCCCGCCAGTTTTTCTAATGCGGCGGGAAAGTGCTCGTCTGACAGCAGTCTATGGTAGGTGTTATATAGTACTAAATGGGTGCGAGTGTCGTTGTGCGAACAGATTGGATACGATTTTCTTTCTATGTTATTCAGTATTAGTTCTTGCCCTATGTTGTAGATGTCGTTGTTGGACACATTTATTTTGTTTTTAAACGTTTCCTCTATTAGGTGATCATAGTCTGATATTTTTAGCCTGGAATTAGAAAAAAGAGTTGTAATTATTATTGTTTATTAATAACCTACAGTTTTCTTAAAAAATATGAGAAAGACATGAAACTTAAGTTTCCACAAATATTTTTGGTAATTTATTTATTTATTTGGACATCCAGTTGTTGCTAAATTTTTATCATTATCTTAAAATTAGGAATTAACATCTTACTGCTAATGCACAACATTTGAAGGACATCACAGCATGCGTTGAGTTGAGAACACTATATCAATTAAATTTAATTTACCTAATTTATCTATATTACCAAATTTGCAATAAATAAGAATTATATAATTGGTAACAACTTTTGTTATTACTCATTATACAATAGTCAACCCGGAATACAAAAATATAAATACAAAACAAAAGAATAATCAAAGATCAAAATAAAAGTCACAATCATTAAAAGCTCAATAATAAAAAAAAATTAACATTTAAATAAATATATAAAATCGGTTGCGAAACAAATCAAGTCAACAGCACACCACAACACTAAGCTTCATCTCTCAACAATCTCATAATATAGTAATAGCAAGGAATTTGCAATTATACCCAGTATAATTCAATAGGTCAATAACTTTTTCTTCTCTTCATAACTGGAATAAAGTACGGCTTGGCAAAAAAGAGTTTTACGCGGTCACAGCCCACTTCGGACCATATCTCTCTATTTATTATTTACTAGCGGCCCGTCCCGGCTTCGCACGGGCATTAAACATTACATTTAGATTTGTTAATTTTAACACATTCATAATAATAGAGCAGATGATCTGAGTAGAAAGCGGTGGTAGTTTCTTAACCCTTCAGCCACTCACATTCTCGTTGCCCCTCTGTTGCTATATCTAGCAACCATTTCCGGGGCCCGGTCGGTGAGTTGGCGAGTCTCCGCCTGTCATTTTTACGTGTAAAAATTACATTGTTTCGGCAGGTGCCATAGTCATCCATAGTTCCCAATTTACCAGTCCACAGCAACCCATCCATAGCCCTACCTTTTTTTTTCCATTATTCACAATAGACCTACACTAACCGGGGACTGTCCTTGGGTGCATTTCCATAGTGCACACAGGGGTATGAATTGAAAGACGATTCTCAGTTTCTGATGAAGATTCTTCATTTCGACGTATTTTTGATGCCCTGGCCTGGGAACTATTTCTAGAAAGTTGAGATCTTGATCTTTTAGGCATTTCAAAATGACAAAAGAAAAAATGCCTTTGAACTAAATTAGCATAACTGTAAGCTATATATGCTACTATATTACAACGTACACAACTACCTACTATTTATTAAAATTAAATTGAAAATCATGAAAAATATTCAAGTAATTTATTAGGTTAATAACTAAGTGAACAATATTTTATATAAATGGGTTTAGTTCTGAAAATAACTTTTTAAATCGGTTTAGTTACTTACTAAACGAATTATTATCAAGCGTAAATTCCGCACACGTCCATCACGTAGTTTATTTCGTGATCTTAACCCCCCTCCCGTACCCCTGCCCGAGTGACGCCTACAACGCATAGCTAGCCGAATACAGTTTATTTTTTAATTTTTTTTTAACTCGTGATATCTTTTGAATGGATTGTCAGAATCGAATAATTCAAAAAGTAATATAAAGATATTGAAGCAGTCTTAAATAATACATCATTTATTTTGATAAGGGTTAATACCAAGGTACAAATAAAGAGCTTTTTGTAGCGGTGGTATTTTAATTTCTTTTTTTCAATAAAAAAACGCTTATTGTGACATGACTGTAATAGTTAGAGATATGCTGCCGCTGATTTTTTGTAGATAATGGTGTGTTCTAAAAAAATGTAGTATATCATTTTGTTCTATCATCAATAGTTTTCGCAGCGCACGCGATGTAAGGTAGTTTTTTGATATTTTTTTCACACCTTGGATTACGTTATCGTAATTTTAGTAAGGATGCCTACTTTTTTTGAAAATGAAATATAGCCTATGTCACTCAGGAATGATGTAGCTTTCCAACAGTGAAAGAATTTTTCAAATCTGCCAAGTAGTTTCGGAGCCTATTCAATTCATACAAACAAACAAACAAACAAAAAATCAAACCTTTCCTCTTTATAATATTTGTATAGACTAGCTACTTCCGCGCGGTTTCACACGCTCTGCTCAACTCCTATTGGTCGTAGCGTGATGTTTTATAACTTATGGCCATCCTCGATAAATGCGCTATACAACACAAAAAGAATTATTCAAATCAGACTAGTAGTTACGGAGATTAGCCCGTTCAAACAAACAAACAAATTCTTCCGCTTTATATAATAGTTTATGATATAAGATTTATTCATTTATTAAGGAAAAACAAACAGTAACATATTAAAAAATATACACAATTCAGCATACTCATTATACTTGGCAAATGTGGTACCCACTACGTTTTCCACAGATTACTTTTAAACCGTCGAGCGTTCGCGTTCCTTATGATCCAACGGGTGCACACGTGACATTTGGAGAATTAAAGAAAGAAAATTCATTTATTTGGCCATTGGCACACGAAAACAAGGATCATTACAATAGAAATAAAAAATACAGTCAAAATAAAAACAAAACATTAATAATAGATTTTATAAAAGAGAAAGCAGCATGGAGCATTTTTTCTTATGGTCCACCGGGTGCTCATAAGGACGCTCAAGGGGTTAATATTAGATCTAGAGTGACACAAATACAGGTACATTTCTCAAGTGGAATAAACTAATGTGAAAGAAGATAACAGCTTTCGATTCGCGATGCACCACTTATACGTATAATTAAAATGGTCAAACTTATTAAACAATTTAAAAAATTTTACAATTCCGTACACACATATATGAATATGCTTTTAATTAAAAAACCGACTTCAAAAAGTCAAAAACTAATAACAAACAAAAAGTCAAAACTAAAAAGCAAAAAATAACTATTATTAGTACTGATAGGTTACCCACCCACTGATAGGTAAGAAGTCGGTGCCATCAGTTCCATACAACATTATTCATTAAAACCTTAATAGGTACCTAATTCACAATTTTGTGGACATTAAGTTATATCATTATGATATGAGCTCCCTTTCAAACGAAACAAGAATTTTGGAAATCGGTTCACAAGTGGCGGAGTACTGCGGGAACAAACAAACAAAAAAAAAACAATCAGCCGAACATAGTACCTCCTCCTTTTTTTGAAGTCGGTAAAAACGTATTTATTAAAAAAAAGTATGTCAATCCCGTTGAACTCACCGTTGTAAGTCTCAACCATGTGATGAAGAGGCAAACGTGAGCCAGCATTTGATCTGCAATAGTTTTTTTTTTTTTTTTTTTAAGGGGGGAAAATCATCGAATGACTGCTCTCGCCTGGGTGAGGCGGAAGGGAGTGTCAGACTCTTACTGATTAAAAACCACCCCGTTCCTTCTCCTGCACGTCGAGCCGGAGCCCCGGTTACTCGTTAGGTTCTCCGCGACTCCGAATCGGCATCGGCCCTATTGGGCCCCATCTGTGGTGGTCTGATGGCTCTTTGAGGCGCGCGCGGAACGCGACGCGCCGTACGCTCGGGTCTGTTTCTGGTCGGACGGGGAGCCACCCATGCTCCGCAGGCCCGCGCTTACGGTGGCCGGAGATCGTCCCGCGATCCCCGACGCCCGGTGTGTCCTTCGCGATGGCTGGGTTGCGAGGAGGCAGCGCTTCGCTGCCTCACGCGTCCCGCCTCCTCCTTAGCTAGCATGACTGCTTCGCAAAAGGAGGAGACGGCATCCCAGTCCCCCTCGCTCCGCATCATGGCCTGCACTAGGCCCGGACGCGAGAGGATCTGCAATAGTTAGTAGCAAACAAAGCCTTATTCTACCACTTACTTCTCGATAGCGGTTACAATTGTACTGCATGTGATTTGACACGTATTTCCCAATGGCTTCCATCCACCAGCGTGCTTGTCCTGGCAGTAGACTCGCGCATCTACGGGAGATATACATGTATATTAAATTGGTAATTTAACAATTAAGCACAGCTAACATTTTGCGACTTTTTATGAATCCCCACAATTCACAAATCCCCAAAAGGCCGATAACGCGCTTTTAACGCCTCTGGTGCTCCAGGTATGCATGGGCGGCGCCGATTGCTTACCATCAGGTTTTTTTTTTATACTTTATAGGTCGACGTTTGACCACAATCTCGCCTGATGGTAAGCGATGATGTGGCCGACGATGGAGCACGCCTACCTATGAGCAACCTGTTCACTCGGGACTTGAAGACACCCAAGTCATATTTGACGGGAAACACAGCCTCTGGCAAGGAATTCCATTCCTTAGCGGTTCGCATGAGGAAGCTTGACGTGAAACGCTTGAAGTGATCTGTATACTCGTTTACTGCCTTACCTTATAAAAAAATCGGCACCGCACATGGACACAACAACAGTAGACGATAAATTATTATCGACGGTTGAAAGGCTAATTGATCTAAGCGACATTTTTTTGTGAAATTGAGTTAAATACATATTCTAAATCAGCAAATTTTCCTTCGCCGTGATGTAGGTATTTAACAATATCACAAAAAATGTTGCTTAGATCAATTAGCCTTTCAACCGTCGTTATGTTTTCGGCTTACTCACGTAATAATTTGACGAGGAACTCGACTAGTTTCAACTCGCGGTAGCGCGGTATGTAACACTGTTTTTGCGTCGACCCGGGATTCGAACCCAACAACACCAACGTAGCTGCCGGCGGGCAAGTCTAGCGTGCCAACAGTGGGCATTGTAAATTTGTATTTTCCCTGTTATTGCAAGAAATTAAAAGTTTATTGGATTAGCGTGTGTTTTTTTAACTAATGAACGCACCTAGATGTAATGGCACCAATGATCGACAGTTTTAGAAGGTGGTGTGTTTGTTTCTTAGATTACGAGTATTTTATTATGTTTTAAAATAAAAGTGACGTTGTATACGATAAAATATGTCCTTGAGATATGAATAGGCTATATTTTCATTTTTAAATATGATGTGGACTAGTATTAAAACCAAAAATAATAAATATTAATAAAATCCCCGATATTCGACACTAGAACTCCAATAATCGACACCCAGTTATCGACAATTACCAGTTATCGTCACCCAGTTATCGACTATTACCCGCAATGAGACAGTAGACTGATTTGATACATTAGTTAGACCGTAATCAAAAGGAACAATTCAGTAAGTATTAATTTATTTGTCTTTTATGTTTAGGTACTCATACATTGTTTTTATAAAATATGTCAAGTCTAATAACACTGACTACAAACTTTAAAAATCTTCACCAAAATAAGCTTTAATCTTGAATACTGTTTTATTTTGATAAAACTATACACTCTGATAAGATTAAATAAGTACAAATTAGGGAAATCAACAATAGTTACATATTTATTAAAAAAATACTAAACTAATTATATATCTTACTAAACTAATTATATATTTTTTTATATTTCTAATCACTCTTTTGGTATTTAATAATTATAAAATACTTATTTAGAACAGAAACAATCCTTTGGAATGAGATAACTACTTAACAACTAATAGTTAATAATCAGTCATGTTCGTAACTAGGAATCTGCATTGTAGTAATAAAACTTAAGTAATCTTTACCTTAACGAATAGTAAATTCAATGAAAAAAGTAACAAACTTAAATAGAAACTGTTTTGTAATAAATAAGTCATTTATCTTATTTCTTATAATTAATATTTATCACAAAGCGAGATCTGAATTTTATTAAAGATTATAAATATTGGGTAAATACTTATCCATTTCTGGTATTCTATAAAACCCTCTCTTGTTAAGACATAGGCTCCTTTATTTCTTCAATTATTTCTGTACGGCCATAGAACATTTTATCAGGAGCGTTGGGCCATTTGAAAGTATTTCCTGTAGTCAAAGTCATTGTACTTATTTCGAATTCGTTTTTTCTCAAGCTTTCAATCTTGCCTGGGAAATACTCCCCTTCATATTTAATTATTACGAAACTTCCTATAGTAAGTTTCTTGTCTTTTTTTAACTTAGTGGCCTTTAAAGATGGGAGTTTGCTCAAAGGCATATTATTCTCAAAGTCAGAGTCTAAAGAATCAGGCTCATCATAACTTATATCACTTACAGCGTACGAAATATCCATATCGGATTCTGAAGTCAATTCTTCTTGATTTATCATATTTCTTTTCACTGTCTTTGTTTTTAATGTTTTATTTTCTTATCGTTGGCTAACTGTTCCTTTAATTTCTTTTTTTCTAGTTTCTGTATCGCTCTTTCTTCCTTTTCTTGTTGTTTTTTATTTTTCTCGGCCTCTTTCTTCTCGTGATACTCTTTCCAAGCTTTACTTGTCACTGTTGACGGAATCTTTTCTCGTTTCATTTTCTTTTTGTTACTATCCTTTTCGGGCCAAAACAGACTTCTCTTAAAAGGAGATGGTACTATCACTCCCAAAACACTTTCCATAGATTTCTTTTGTGGTGTTTATATCCTGTAGTACCATAGTATTAATTATGGGTTCTTGAGATATGCAGTCTTCTACTATTCTGGGAATATCAGAAGACGATGACGACGCCGGTGGAGGAAGTGCTTGGTCAATTGATGTATCAATATTAGTATAAATGTTAGGTTGTTCAACTACGGGATCTATTGTAACTTCAGGTAAATCGGTCAGCGAAGAGAGTTGTGGAAGAGGTTGGTTAATTATAGTATCAACTTTGGTGTTATAGTTGGGTTGTTGATTTTGATGATCTTCTATTGTTCTAACTACATCGATAGAAGACAAGGACTCAAATGGAACACCTACGGCAGTATCCACTGATTCTTTCAAGTTATGTGTTGAGGAAACACTTTCTATGAACTCATTAGAATTGGTATCTTTTGATGAATTTTTAGTTTGCTCGCTGTTTTCAATTCCTGGTGATTCTTCGGTTAAAACTTCAATCAACTGAGCAGTGGTTATATTATTTGAGACTATGTCTACCTCTTCCAAAGTGTCCGACGTAGAAGCAGCATCCGACAAACCCAAACGACACACGTCATCGGATTTATTTTTGGCCCAAATTACATATAAAGCCACATCTTCATTAGGGATGTTACTTTCCAGTGTACTTCTATTTTCAAAGTATAATTTATTAAATAGGTCTAACTTTTCAGCTGAAAAAACTTTTATTATTTCGTTTTCTAAATATCTCACAAATTCCGTCTGCCCTGGATTAGTTTTAGTTGAGGTTTCCTTTGGTCTTATTTTTGACATGTCAATGTAATCAGGCCCGAATGGAAAAAGTCCCGCCGCTCTGAACCCATTTTTCACACAATCTTTTGTTATGTTTGCGAGTGATTTTTGAAGTACTGGAGCAAAATTCTCTTTACGAAGATTTTGACCAAGGTTCTCCATTTTCCATTGCGTCACGGCTTTTCTCCAATGTGCTTTGAGGGGTCTGAATACTGACAAGTCCATAGGTTGCAAAATATGAGTAGAGTTTGGGTACAGGGCAAAGATCTCGATACCGTTTTGGGAGCAAAAATTTGATAAATGTAGGGTGAGATGGGATTTGTGGCCATCCACAAAGAATAAAATCGGTTTTTCAATATTATTTTGCTCTAACCAAGGGTTGAAAACATTAGTCACATATTCATAGAAGGTGCTGCTGCACATCCACCCACTTTCTGACTTACCTATTGCCCATTCATCGGGAACACTAGCAGCAACTGACGAAGGAATTCGTTCATAACTAAATACGATCATTGGAGGGGCAAGGTCTCCGGCTGCATTTCCCGTGATAAGGACAGTAAGGTTGTCCTTCTCATCACCACACTTACTATAAGGGTGTTTATCTCCTTTTTTGCAGATAACACGATCAGGTTTCGGCGACAAGAAAAACGCGCTTTCGTCTGCATTGAATAGCCTGTGTGGGTTGTTTAGAATATTTTTTAAGTTATGTTCTTCTAAATAACTTTCGATTTCTTTAAACCAGGTCCTAATGTTATCCTCCGATACATTATCTCGAGCTCTCGACAAGTTATCTGGTACTCTTTGTGACAAGTTTGGATGTCTTTTCATGAATGAGTGAAACCATTTCTTACCAGGCCTATTATTAGTAAAAGGATTTTTCCTGTTTTGATTAATTATTAGTTTTTGAACACTGTCCAGTAGACAGTCTTTAGTTAGGGGAATATGCTTTTCAGCTAAAGTTAATAACCATTTTTCTAAAATTTCTTCTTCTACTTTTGTTAAGATGGTACTTGGCCCCATACTACAACCAATGGAAGTTCTTCGTGTTATTTTGTCATGAAGAGTAATTCTTGGTACTCCGAAACGTTGCGCAGCACTTGCTATCTTTTCTCCATTCTTAACAGCTTCAACTGCTTTTTCAATCTGGTCGAGAGTGTAGTTTTTTCTCGGAGCCATCTGTAAGAATCAATTACCTATTACTGGTAACTTAAATATCTACCAATTCGGCAAAGAAAAGATGACCGTCGGTCACCGTATTCTCTTGTCAAATGTAACAAATAATTAATGGAATTGCAATGTGTCGAAATGGATAAGTATTTACCTAGTATTCATGACCTTTGACTTAAATTCAATATAAGTACTTAAGTCATAAAAAATTAAGCAATTATTTTAAATTCAAATCCAAAAATAATTTATTTCACAGTTAAACAAATTTTATTTTTATAACAGAAAGAATTATTATCAGTGTAATATATTTAATGTATAAAATACCTACTAAATTTAGTTTATAAAATGTATGTTCCTTATTAAATGTAGTTTTTTTCTTGGAGACATCTGTATGAACCAATTATCGACACATTTCAATCCCATTAATCGACATCGTGTCGAATACTGGTAACTCTACTTTAATCAACCTAATTTAAATATCTAACAATTCTGCAAAGAAAAGAGAACCATATTCCGTGGTTACACAAAAATAATTTTAATAAAATTATTATCGACACTCGTCGATGATTGGAGCAAGTCAATTTCTGAGGACCAGTAATCGACACGGGCAATTTAGGTTAAAAAAATAACCTCCTAACTTTTTTTATAACATAAATCGATCTTATCATTCCCATAATACGGCTTAAAAACATCAAATTAATATAAGTTTCAATATATGAAAAATGAACATATTTTGTACTTACGTTCTTACAGAATCCGCTTAGAAATGCCGTTATTTTATGAGGAACACTAGCCGAACTAAGTTCTCACACGGCCATTTGTAAAAAAAATGGCGGATTTCTTTCAAATGTCACTGGATGACAGCAGGAAGCGTATTGTCTGAGCCACAGTATAGCCATATTAAAAAATCGTATTATAACTCTTATTTTCTCTAATTAGAGAAAAAAATTGTCGATCATTGGAGCTTGTCGATCATTAGTGCCACTACGTGGCACTAACATATTATTTTATTTGATAATTTTTAAATATCATGCAATTCACACTTTTTTGGCCCCAAATTTGAAATCGACCCTGCCACGCGCGCCGCCGTCGCCGATACCACGAATGGAAGAAAGTGCACGTGAATCACGGCAGAGGGCGCGCTGGGCCCGCAGACTCGAGTAGCCAGTAGCAGCGCGACAGTCGCCGCGTCGTGGGTCGCGAAATGCTGCTCAATATGAGCCTCTAGCATGGCTTTAAACTAGTCGAGTTCCTCGTCAAATTATTACGTGAGTAAGCCGAAAACATAACAATTTATTTAGTATGTCTCACGAAATTTAAAATACAAACAGTAGACGAGTTACAAATACGTTACCGCTTGCTATCCTTTAATTGTGGATTTTAGGAATGGTCTTTGTGCATAACTTCACTGATGCGGTGAAATTTCACGTTGGTTTCCTACTCGGCCGTGGTATTACTCCGTGCGCCGGCCCATTCGTGCCGAAGCATGGCTTTTCCCTCTCACTTTTAACTAACAACGGTCCTCATTATCTGGACGGTGCATTCAGATCGCTCATAATATTATTATTTCGCGACTACCAAGAAGCAAAAAGGACGTTGTAGAGTTGCTGGTTGTGAAAATAAAGCCCCGGTGTTCTTGATGGTTATTTATTTATTGGCAATTTCACTGTTACATAAATTTACATTAACTCGTCGAGTACCGGTTTTATAGACACAATTAAAGAACAATAGGTCGCGGTCACCGGTGACCGCTTGGTGTTTGACAGTTTAAACTAATCAAGATAATTGCAACCCTAAGTGGAGGGATGAAAGGGACTGCGTGGCTATCGTCTTTCAGACCTCCCCTAGCTGGCTAATTCCAGAAGACCGCCAGGCTATCGAACTGGAGTTAGTCGTACTTAGGTTCAGAGAAGGCCGCTAGGCTACCAAACTCTGATCCTCTAGCTAGTAGAATGATAATTTGTTCGAAGACAACTCTGCTTATAAAGGCGGATGTAGTTGTTTCGGATATATTATACTAGATGGCGCTGGGTGTTCTTTACAACGTTCAATTTTCACTCAACAAAACAATCAATGTGAAATGTGATTTTATAGCGTTCAGTCACCATGTTATTACACGATTGAAATGAACTCGAATAATACCTTACCTGACTCAGAGATAAAGGTGCAAATTTCAGCGTGTGACGTGACGCGACGTGACGACAACATTTATTTTTATAATAACTATCGTGAGACATACTAAATTAGTGAGTAACCCGCGATTTTACTTAACAACATTTGTGACGATATTTAAATATAAAATTGTTTAATACTTAACACAAGAGAGCCATGCTTCTGCACGAATGGGAAATGAGTGATACCACGGCCGACCAGAAAATCGACATGAAACAACGCTTGCGTTGTATTTCATCGTATGAGCGAAGTTACCTGTCGTCCAATTAAAGAGCACCTCCCATTTCCAATTCCGCTAATACCGAATTTTCTGCTGTTGCTGAAGGGTATAACCCGGGTGTCTTCAAGGCCCGAGTGAATAGGTTGCTTATGGGACGACATGCTCCATCGTAGACCGCATCATCGCTTACCACCAGCCGAGATAGTGGTCAAACATCGGTCAAAAATCCCTTATCTCCAAAAGGCTGGCACGCATTAGTGACTCCGGCCGATTGCTTATCATCAGGTGATCCGTCTGCTCGTTTGCCGGCCTGAAAAAGGAGAATTCATTAATTAAAATACCTGCAATACCAAATAGCAGCACTGTAACACCGATAACGTACATTTTGCAATGAAAATGTACGTTAAAAAACTTCAGAATGACATAATAGTAATGCAAGCAGTAATTTACTAATTACCTAATGTCGTTTTACGATCATTAGCAATGGGTAATTATAAGATAGAGATTTTCTGTAAATTAACAGTTATGACTCAAGCTAAAACTCAAACTCAAACTGAAAAGCATTTATTTCAATTAAACCATAATTTGGTACTTTTGAAACGTCAACAAATATGAAATAAATAATAGTCTGTTAGTCAGTCCGTCAGTGAAGCTAGGCGCTCGTTCCAAAATGTCGATTCGAGTGGAGAAGAACGAGCAAGAAACTCCATTCGTTACTCTTTTAAAAAAAGTCTGTTTTACATTGCTCTGATACATATTCCAATATTGTACACACTTGTGAGAATAATATAAAGACATACCTGACGCAACATACAAATAACAGAACGTACTAAAATAAAATAAAAAATAAAAAAACAAAACCAAGAGAAAACAAAAATCTTAAGTCTGACATGGTCCTCACCTATGTATACTGACAATCCATATAAAATAGTGCACCTATACAAGAAAAAAAAAAAATAAACTCTTGTTTAAATAAAGAAGAGTGATTTGTACACACGGCTACACATCGAGCTTTACATAACCAGTATAAACTGAACGTTAAATGTGCGGAAAGATGATGCGACGCGACACCAGGATAAACTGGTTTTGTATAGATTGATGTGTGACCGTGTGTACTTTGATTAAGTTTGACAAAGTTGCTCGACTGGTTTCAAGCCACGGTCGGGGCTAATAATATTTTTTTTAAAGTTGCCCCACTCTGGGATTTTCTCCGGTGTCGTGGTTGCGTTAACAAACATACAAGTTCACATATACATCACATTTAGACCCGACAATTTGTGGATCACAAGGAGTTGCTTCGGGCGGGAATCGAACCCGCGACACGTTGCACACCAGCCGGTTGCCCAGCAACCGCACCACCGACTTAAAATCTACTTCCGCGCGTTTTCACCCGCTCTGCTCGGCGCTCATTGATCATTGATCATAGCGTGATGTTTTATAGCCTTCCGAGATATTAATCAGACTTTATGTCGTCAAAAATTCGTTAGTCAAAAAAAAAACGAAACGTCAAAAATTTAATTGTTCGTCTGTCAGTCTGTCAGTGAAGCCAGGCGCTCGTTCCAAAGTGTAGTTTCGAATGGAGAAGAACGAGCAAGAAACTCCATCGTTAGTCTTTAAAAAAATGTTTTTTACAGTCTCATTGATACATTATAATGTACATATATATAGATAATTATCTGATGCTTTACCTAATGTATTAGTATATATTTGAGAACGATAAATTTGGCAATGCGTAGAGATGTAGCCTCGTTGTGCATTTTCTATCGCTTATCACGCTACCACGCTACCACGGGGAGTGCTCTGAGGAATTGTTTGACCTGATACCTGCCGCATCTTTTCGCCATCGACCCTCACGACAGCATATGAATCCCCATCATATAGATGGTTGGCAGGGCACAACTGTGCGCTTCTCACGATGCTTTCTGCCTCGCACAGCAAAACTGTGTAGAATGATCTGTCGTTGACGGTATTTCCAAACCGATACGACCTTCAAGAAAAGAGCGTATTCCTTTTTAAAAGGCCGGCAACGCACCTGTGACTCCTCTGTGTCCATGCGCGGCGCTGATCGCTTACCATCAGGTGATCCGTCTGCTTGTTTGTGTCCTATTTCATAAAAAAATATATAAATATAATAAATATAGTATACTACACATTGTCGTAACATCGTTTTTTTTATTGCTTAGCTTAATATTTTCCTATTATTTATTGTTACAGGTGAGAAACCCTACCAATGCACGCATTGTGACTACGCCTGTCGAGATACATCCACTATAAGGAGACACATAGAGCGCCATCTGGGAATATCCAAAGACTTTCCGTGCTCTTTATGTAATAAGATGTGAGTATAGTTTCTTTTTACTGCCTCGTTGGCCGAGTGGTCGCAAGTGCGACTGCCAAGCAAGGGGTCCCGGGTTCGATTCCCGGGTTGAGCGAAGTATTACTGGGTTTTTATTAGTGTCCGACCGAAGCTTCGGCTTCGGCTTCGGCTTCGGCCACCTTCGGCCAAAAAGTCCACCTTCGGCAAAACATTCGGCTTCGGCCCAAAGCCCGGCCGAAGCCGAAGGTTTCGCCGAAGGTCTGAGCGACTGCCGAGATTAAACGACAACGGTACAAAATGTAGATAAATTATTATTTTTAGCTTACAACATAAGGCTGTTTAACTTTGATTACTAATTATGTGTGTATGTATTAATGTATTAATTTTCAATTAATACATAACATTACTATGTGATTTTTATTGTAATCAATGTAGCTCTAGTTAAAAAGTTTCTGAGAGAGAAGGTTAAGTACAAATAGGCTTAGTAAAATAGAATATTATATTATTCTTATAGCTTCTTGTGTGCAGAACAGTCATTAACTCATTAGTTCTTATGTTAATGTTATTGTTTCATTTATTTTGAATTTTCTAATATTCGCTAAATTTAATTGACCAACATTTAATTATTTACTAAGAAGTTATGCTTGTTTATTTTATTTATTAGTCTAGTTTTGGTCTAGTCCAGTAAAACAAAGACTGATTGATCTAATTGTAATTTGTGAAATTATTCATAATAAAGAAAAGATTACTTTTACCAGTAGGTAAATCACAAACTTTTATTAATCTCTAAACCAACCATCTCTTTGATATATCATAAACTTCTTTATAAGACAGTCAATATAAACCTTCAATATTGAGGTTTTGAAATAATTTTAATATTAATTGTAGCTTGTAGACAATATTGAACAAAATAATTGACTGAGTGCTGAGAAAATATAAACCTTCGGCTTCGGCCAAAAATACACCTTCGGTCGGACACTAGTTTTTATTCTCAGTAGAATATGAAGTAGTGAAAAAATATAATAAATAGTGAAAAGTGGGTGTTACATTGTACAGTGGTATAATGTGCACCTCTGCCTACCCCTTCGAGGATAAAAGGCGTGATGTTATTTATATTCTCAGTCGTAGCATGGAGATGGAATTGTGCCCGGTTTATGGCTATAGACTCACCCCCTATTACATGGGACTCGTAACATAAATAGTGAAAAGTGTGTGTTACATTGTACAGTGGCATAATGCACCTCTGCCTAATCTGCCTATCTTTTCGGAGATAAAATGCGTATGTATGTTATTATGTAAAACTTGCTAAAAAAAAGTAATTTTTCACCGAGATATGATATAAAAATTACAAATTATTAAATGTGTGTTAATTTTCGCTGAACATAATATTATATTGGGTTGTTTATATATTGGTCCCAGCTGTCACCCTTCACATAATGGTGCACTATATACTGGCAAACTATGTTCGTTGCAAACAATCAAACAAACTCTTGTTTGTTTGATTGTTCGAGCTAATCTCAGTAACTACAAGTATGATTTGAATAATTATTTTTGTGTTGGATAGCCCATTTTTCGAGGAAGTACATAAGCTATATAAAATCACGCTACGACCAATAGACGCCGAGCAGAGCGGATGAAAGCGCGCGGGAGGAGCGTAAAATAAATTGGCTTATCCATCAGATTTACTATCAGAAAATTAACCGGTACCTTCTAAAACAGTCCCTTAAGCCTTTGACTGAGCCATCAGACCACCACAGATGGGGCCCAATAGGGCCGATGCCAATTCGGAGTCGTGGAGAACCTAACGGGTAACCGGGGCTCCGGCTCGACGTGCAGGAGAAGGAACGGGGTGGTTTTTAGACAGTAAGAGTCTGACACTCCCTTCCGCCTCACCCAGGCGGGAGCAGTCATTAGATGATTTACCCCCTTAAAAAAAAGCCTTTGACTGCCGACAGAACACTGTTGAGGCTAAATCCTCCGCTATCGTGGCCCATACCTCGTCCCTCATGGCGTTCAAGGTGTTAATCTCAATTTCTTCCACAGCTTTAAGAGAAAGGATACTCTGCAGTTCCACCTGGACGAAGTACACTTTGAGTTGAACACCAGGAAGTACCATTGTGAGCACTGTGACAAAGTGTTCAAAACTAAAAATACGCTGACTGTGCATAATGTAAGTATATATTTCTCACACATAATCTTTTATACATATTTGTCTGGACTTTAAAAGAGACAGACCTCTGAGTTTGTTTCGGCATTTTTTCTCAGAGTAGTCAGTTAGGAAATGTCGGCCTCATCGTTCGCTTGATAAAATTGACGTGTAAAAGTACTGCCTTGTAGCCTATTTGCAGAAATATATTCACTTGTTTCACTTATTATTTACTAGCAAACCCGGCGAACTCCGTTCCGCCACCAGATAGCTTCGTTTTATGTAACATTCTTTGCTATAAACCTCACGGAGCCCGAGACCTTTCCAACGAATGCAAAATCGTGGAAATCGGTTCGTGCGTTCTGGAGTTATAGCGTCAGGAAGGAAAACCCGACTTATTTTTATATAGTAGATTACTATTTTGACTGCCTTGTTGGCCGAGCGGTCGCAAGTGCGACTGCCTTCGCGGAGAACCTAACGGGTAACCGGGGCTTCGGCTCGAAGCGCAGGAGAAGGAACGGGGTGGTTTTTAGTCAGTAAGAGTCTGACACTCCCTCCCGCCTCACCCAGGCGGGAGCAGTCTTTCGATGAATTTCCCCCCTTAAAAAAAATGCCTATCCATTCGGGGATAAAAGTCGTGATGTTATATTATGTTATTTATTTTTCTAGAATACAGTACATAAGAAATCCAACCGAGTCAACTGTGAGATATGCGGAGTGGAAGTCACCAAAAACAATGTTCTCGCCCACCTACGGCGGCATGTTAATCTCCGACCTTATAAATGTAATTACGATAGTTGTAGACGACGATTTAAGGATAAGGTAAGCTGAATAGTGTGTCGCGGAGAACCTAACGGGTAACCGGGGCTCCGGCTCGACGTGCAGGAGACGGAACGGGGTGGTTTTTAGTCAGTAAGAGTCTGACACTCTCTCCCGCCTCACCCAGGCGGGAGCAGTCATTCGATGATTTTCCCCCCTTAAGAAAAAAAAAGCTGAATAGTGTAGATGCCTAATTTTTATTCTAATGTCCGTCTTGTAGAGTATTTTAAATCATTAGACACGTATTTTTTATTTTCTTACACAAACGAATACTTTCGACGATATATTGATTTGAAATGTCGCGTGACGTCACTTCTATGTACATTTTATACGTAGAAATGACGTTTTAGCCCCCACTCCTAAACTTTGATTCGTTTTATCTAAGTACTGTTTTATTATACGACAAAATAAAAAAATACGTGTCTAATATTTTTTCATTACCTAACTGACGGACTAATTAGATTTTTAATTTTCATACACTGTTATCATCCCTATTACCATTATTTTGGTTCACGAAAAACAAAGAAACCCTTTTTTATATTAACAGACTTTAAAAAATTAAGGTTGTTTTCAATTTGGCAATAGACTCACCCCCTATTACACGGGACTCATAACATAAATAGTGAAAAGTGGATGTTACATTGTACAGTGGCATTAAGTGCCGTAATGTGCACCTCTGCCCTATTTGTAAAAAATTTACAGAATGTCTATGATAGAATAATTAAATTTATGTTTCTTTGTTGTACAGGGTGATCTCAAAAAGCATATACTTATACACTATCCCGATCGTCAGTATAGCTGCACGTACTGCAACCGAAAGTTCGCGAGAAAGTCGCGACTAAACGAACATATAGCCATGCATCTGAGGGGATACAAAGTGCAGTGTGATTATTGCAATGAAATGTAAGTATTGTAATTGTTTTTATGGTGATCTACCTGACGGATTACCTGATGGTAAGCAATGGATTGTTGGGGGCTTGAGGATTGGGGACATGGGGGTATTGTACCTCCAGTAACTTCACTCATAAGATGAAATAATATAATATTATATTGTACGTACATTCTAGAAAACTGACGCGCTTCTTTAACGTGTTTACGAAGTTGATCATCTGGGCGACTTTAGCCGCCTGACTCTCTTCTGGAGGCCGCATGGGAGTAGTAGGACGTAATGACAATACATCACTATGTAATATCCCTGAAACATAAACAAATATAATAATATTATCATCATCACGACCCACAAGGTGAAAAGACAATGATTAAGGATGTAGACAAGCGTACGGCGCGTCGCGTTCTGCGCGCGCCTCAAAGAGCCATCAGACCACCACGGATGGGGCCCAATAGGGCTGATACTGATACGGATCTGCGAAGGACTTAACGGGTTACTGGGGCTCCGGCTCGACGTGCAGAAGTAGGAACGGGGTGGTTTTTAGTCAGTAAAAGTCTGACACTCCCTCCTGCTTCACCCAGGCGGGAGAAATCATTGGATGATTTTCCCCCTTAAAAAAATCCCTCATTGGGCATTGCCCATATAACAAAACACGGTGCGAATTTGTGGCCAATTTATACTGGGCATAATTGCAGACTCCGTATTATTTTAATTGTAATAATAATGATCTGGAATGGCAAGAGTCCCTAAATCCGTGCGTCACTGCATGGGTGCTCACTGAAAATCAGTGCTGGGTAACCTGTATGCCTGGCTTACACTGAGTGGGTGACCCTTTTAGCATAGGCATGTTGTCAGCGTCTCTTTTCTAATTCTTCTGTTTCAATTTTTCAACTCTTATATTTTTATTACTTCCACTGTCGCATCTTGATTGTCTTTTTTTATTTTTTATTTATGCTGCATCGTGCCTGGTGCTAAATAAATGTTTTTTCTTTCTTTCTTTCTTTCTTTCTTTCTAAATCTCCGAGCTTGGCAGACAAGTTGGAGATTGTAGAGTAAAAGGTGCAGGTTTATCAGAGAGCACTGCTGCATGGTCTCTGTCTGACATAATATCCCTAAATCACACAGACTCACCAACTATCGGATTAGGGTAGACGACTAATTTTTATTTTAATGTCCGTCTGATAGATTATTTAAAAACATTAGACACGTATTTTTTATTTTCTCACAGAAACGAATAGTTTCGAAGATATATTGATTTGAAATGTCGCGTGACGTCACTTCTCAGTACATTTTATACTAAGGAATGACGTTTTAGCCCCCACTCCTAAACTTTGATTCCTTTCATCTAAGTATTGTTTTATTATACGACAAAATAAAAAAATACGTGTTTAATATTTTTTCATTACCTAACTTACGGACTAATTATATTTTTAATTTTCATACCCTGTCATCATCCCCATTATCGTTAACTTTTTCCAGGTTTTCATCAAAGATGCGTCTATCAAAGCATATAAAGAGAGCTCACAGTCCCAACTCAAAGAAATATATTTGTGACGTCTGTGGTATTGTCATAAGCAGTCGCCGTGGCATCGTCAGACATCTACAATATGGACATGGGACTGAAAAAGTAAGTATTTTAGTATAAAAAGATGTTTTCGAGGAGACTCGATCAGTTTCGAGCGGCGTTGTGGACCCATACTTATTGGGAGCGTAAGCGGAGCGTAAACATCGCATTTTGTATGCTTTTAATGTCTCGTAACGGATTCGATTTCCGTTACAACCAGACAACATATAATACAATAAATAAATAAATAATGCCTCATTTGCCGAGTGGTCGCAAGTGCGACTGCCGGGCAAGGGGTCTCGGGTTCGATTCCCGGGTCGGGCAAAGTATTACTGGGTTTTAAAAAATTTCCGTAGTAGCACGGTGTCTGGAAATGTGACCGGTAATTTGCAATAGGCTCACCCCCTATTACATGGGACTCATAACATAAATAGTGAAAAGTGGGTGTTACATTGTACAGTAGCATTAAGTACCATAGTCAGTAATGTGTGCCTCTGCCCTTCGGGGATATCAGGCGTGATGTTATGTTATGTTAAAAATAAATAACTGTGCCATTTTAGTAACAACTTTGACGTTTTGTGCGCCTTCTGTCAGACCTATGTACCTCATGCTTGTAATGTGTTGTGCTCTGTAATATTGTCTGCTGAAATGATAAGTAAATAAATACTAGCTTCTACCCACAGTTTCGCTCGCACTCTTAAAGTATTGAGGGCAGGTTTACAAAAGATAAAAAAGAATTGGTACCCAATGTTTGAGGTATGTGTATGTGTATGATACAATTTTAGATTTCTTGAAAATTTCGAAATGCTCCATACAAACTTCCAGCCCCTGTTTTAGGGAAGTGGGAAACAAAATGTCGCCTATGCTACTTTCAATCCTTTCTACAATCTCAACTCAGTAAAAAAATCACGCCAGTTTCTAACAAAACGAACAGACGTAAACAAATTTGTAAAGGTTATATACCTTTCTATGTTATCTGACATATTTTGACAAGTGAGTTTCATACCAACATGATACCAATGGATTATTGACAATTTTTATTTATTATAATGATACAACATTAATGTATGGAAAGAGGCTGAATACTAATTTTATTAACCATTGAACCTATTTGATCGAAATTCGGGTCAACGAGAGTTTGAGAAAACATTTCACAATAAATATAACTAAATCGATTCTGATGAGATTTGCTTACACAGCATTGCAATGAATCTTGGAGAAGAATAATTAAAAAATCCAAAATTTGCCATGAGTCATAAATAAATAAGAAGAAGATGTTGATGGTTTTAACAAGAACCTGTATCTTGTTTCAGGATGTACAATGCCAACTATGTAAAAAGGTATTCAGTCACAATATGGGGTTGAAGGACCATTATTTGAAGCATCATAATATCAAGTACTGCTTGCTAGGAGACAAGTAAGTATAATGGGGATGATGACAGGGTATGAAAATTAAAAACATAATTAGTCCGTAAGTTAGGTAATGAAAAAATATTAGATACGTATTTTTTTATTTTGTCGTATAATAAGACAATACTTAGATAAAACGAATCAAAGTTTAGGAGTGGGGGCTAAAACGTCATTCCTTAGTATAAAATGTACTGAGAAGTGACGTCACGCGACATTTCAAATCAATATATCTTCGAAACTATTCGTTTCTGTGAGAAAATAAAAAATACGTGTCTAATGTTTTTAAATAATCTACCAGACGTACATTAAAATAAAAATTAGTCGTCTACCCTATTGCATAACTTGATTCCCCCTAGTCCTTTCCATGATCGTACCACAAAACAATCAATTGACTGCACGGTTGGTGCGGTGGCTGGGCAACCGGCTGCCGTGCAACGTGTCGCGGGTTCGATTCCCGCACGGAACAACTCTGTGTGATCCGCAAATTGTTGTTCCGGGTCTGTGTGTCATGTGTATGTGAACTTGTATGTTTGTAAACGTACACACGACACAGGAGAAAATCCTAATGTGGGACAACGTTAAAAAAAAAATCGGCGAAGCGTCACCGGTTCATGGTAGATGTTCCGCCCACACGCATGAAGCGCTTCGCATCAAGCTTCCTTGTGTGTACTGCTAAGGAGTGGAATTCTTTGCCAGAGTCTGTATTTCCTGAAGGGTATAACCTGGGTGTCTTCAAGGCCCGAGTGAATAGGTTGCTTATGGGTCGACGTGCTCCATCGTAGACCGCATCATCGCTTACCACCAGGCGAGATAGTGGTCAAACGTCGCCCCATCATATATATAAAAATGTACTTTATGTCTCTAGTTATAAAGGTGTTTTTCAATAATTAATATTGAATTAACGAAACAATGTAACTAATAATTGTATTGTTTTTATAATAACCATCGTGAGAAATACTAAATTAACAAAAATTATATATTGCAATAAAAAAAACTCTAGTGGCTCCATTTCTTTGCTCTCATGTGTAGTTGCGAAAAACTGAAAGTAAATCTTTGCCTAACCCAGATATTTAACTTTTCTAACATTATTTTTGTTGTGTATCTGTGGTACATATTATAATAAAATAAAGAAAATATGTTAATGTTTAGTATGAAATCAACATTTCTTATGTTATAATATAATAAATATTGATAGTAGTTTAATCCTTACTAATATTATAAATCTGAAAGTGAGTTTGTTTGTTTGTTTGTTCCACCTTCACGCCGTAACTACTCAACCGATTGCTTTGAATTTTTGCAGACGTAAAGTTAGAAGTCCGGATTAAATAATAGGGTACTTTTTAACCCGAAAAAATTGATATTCCCGAGGAAAAACAAAAGTATTGGTATAGATGGCGCTGTGTGTATTGGTATATGTCACATGTCTACTTTTTATTCTTTTGTGACGCGAGCGAAGCCGCGTCACAAAAGAATAAAAAGTAACAATTTTCTTATTTGTAAACAGCCAACAAGAAATAATAATAAAGGACGAACCGATAGATGAAGAATTGAGCGATGGTGACACTCGCCGGTACTCATTCGAAGTTGACATTGATAAACATGAGATTGACGGTAAGCTTTTGTCTTTTAACAATAAGACTTGACTGCACGGTAGGTGCGGTGGCTGGGCAACCGGCTGCGGTGCAACGTGTCGCGGGTTCGATTCCCGCACGAAACAACACTTTGTGTGATCCACAGATTGTTGTTCCGGGTCTGGGTGTCTTTGTGTATGTGAACTTGTATGTTTGTAAACGCACCCACGACACTGGAGAAAATACTAGTGAGGGACAACGTTTTTTTTTAAAAATAAAAATAACTATCGTGAGACATACTACCTATATTAACCCTTTGAGTACCGTCATTATGGACACAATTAAAGAACAATAGGTTGCGGTCACCGGTGTCCTCGCGGTGTTTGACAGTTTAAATAAAAACCGCGGGTTACTCACGTGAATATACTGAGAAAAGCTCTACTAGTTTCGAGCCACAGAGGGGCTCTTCACTGATGTCGCACAGCCTAAACCTAGGCTGAATAAACCGCGATTTTTTTTTAATACATTTTAATTATTTTTATTATATTAGACTGCCTCATTGGCCGAGTGGTCGCAAGTGCGACTGCCGGGCAAGGGGTCTCGGGTTCGATTCCCGGGTCGGGCAAAGTATTACGGGGTTTTTAAAAATCTCAGTAGTAGCACGAAGTCTGGAATTGTGCCCTATATATGGCAATAAGCTCACCCCCTATTGCATGGGACTCATAACATAAATAGTGAAAAGTGGGTGGTACATTGTACAGTGGCATTAAGTGCCGAAATGTGCACCTCTGCCTACCCCTTCCGGGATAAAAAGGCGTGATGTTATGTTATGTTTAATTATTTTTCATTACATTTCCAGAATTATTTCAACCTTCAGAAGGTCAGATATCAGAAGAGATAGAGCAACTCCCTCTAGAACCAGACCCGGCCACGCAAGAGGTGTCAGAAGTCGTGTCTACAAATGTAGATAAAGAACAGAGTTCAGAAGATATTGTTGAAGAAGTCTTCTTTGAAAACGTGGTTCAGAACACTGTTAGGAACATAGGTAAAATTATTTTGTAATTTAACATAACAAAACATCACGCCTTTTATTCCCGAAGGGGTAGGCAGAGGTGCACATTATGCCATTACTAGCTTTTACCCGCGGCTTCGCTCGCGTCACAAAAGGATAAAAAGCCAATGTGACATATAACAATACACACAGCGCCATCTATACCAATACTTTTGTTTTTCCTCGGGAATATCAAATTTTTCCGGGATAAAAAGTACTCTACTTTTATTTAATCCGGACTTCTAACTATACATCTGCAAAAATTCAAAGCAATCGGTTTAGTAGTTACGGCGTTAAAGTGGAACAAACAAACTCACTTTCCGATTTATAATATAAGTAAGGATACAATATAACACTCACTTTTCACTATTTATGTTATGCGTCCCATGTAATAAGGGGTGAGCCTATTGCCATATACCGGGCACGATTCCAGACTCCATGCTACTACTGAGAATTTTTTATAAACTCTGTTATACTTTGCCCGACCCGGGAATCGAACCCGAAATCCCTTGCCCGACAGTCGCACTTGCGACCAGTCGGCCAACGAGGCAGTCTTGTTCATAATATACTTAATAATATAATTAATAATCATTTTTATCCACAGATATGCCAAATAACATAGTAGATATGAAGCAAAAAGAGACAGTGAATAAATGCGTCGAGGAGATGCTGAGCAAAGTGCGCAAGCGCAAGGAATATAAAGTTTTAGAGATATTGCGTCAACAATATAACAAACGCATTATAATGGCTACCAGGAGCGGTAAAAAACAAGGTACCTTTATAAAAACAAGATATTTTTAGCTTTAGAGGTGAGGTGAGGTGAGGAAAATCATCCAATGACCTCTCTTCGCCTTAACCTCTCGCGCGCTTCTCGTACACACGGGTAAATATCTTAATAGAAAAGCGAATTAACTATTCTGTTCAATCAAATAAAGAACGGGTTGCAAACTTGAAAATATACGTCACAGAAACAATATCCAATCGGTGCGCGTTTCTCATACAGTACCCGTGTGTAGGTACAATTGCGCGATGGGCACTCAACTCTCTCGTACACCCGTGTGTACGAGAAACACGCGAGAGGTTAAGTGAGGCGAGCGCGAGTGTCAGACTCTTACTGACTAAAAACCACCCCGTTCCTACTCCTACTCCTGAATCAATGTTTAAGTGTGGGAGAGCTATGCTTCTGTACTGTGTCGGCTCGACCGGAGTGATACCACGGCCGAACAGAAAACCATAGTAAAATAACGTTTGTGTGGTATTTCGTCGTGTAAGGTTACTGAAGGCGCAATTATTTATAATTACCCGCATTCCCGATCTCCTCAATAAATCCCCGAATCCCCAACAATCCTCTAATCTCTACCTCTAAACGGGTATAAGGGCAAGAGTGATGCAACACTCGGAACAATTTGGGGTTGAGCAGATGTGGCTAAGTGTAGGCGTCAACGGGAAAAAAATATTGGTAGGTACAGCGTATAGACCGCCATGGTTTAATCTGGGTGGATTCTTGGATGGCATAACTGACAGCATCACTGCATTGGCTCCCTACGACAATGTTATATTGTTGGGGGACTTCAATGTCAATTTATTAAATAAAGACCACAAGACGGCCACCTTGACTGATTTCATAAATTACACCCAGATGAATCAAGTGGTACAGACGCCAACGCATTTCGTGGGAGAAAGTGGTACCCTAATAGATGTTGTGTGCACAGATATAAAAGTGCGCAATGTTGTTGCGAGTCATATCAGTGAGCTCGGAAATCACTCTTTTATTACTTGTGAGGCAATGATCAAGAAGGAGAAGACTAAACCAAGAATTGTAGCTTATAGACCGCTTAAGGATATATTAGTTGACAACTTTAATGCAGACTTGGAATCTATAGATTGGATGGGGATGAGTGGTTCGAGTGATGTAAATGGTATGGTTTCACTATTCACATATGCTACCAATCAGCTCTATGACCTCCATGCTCCCATAAAAACTAAAATGTTTAGAGGCTACCCTACTCCATGGATCACTGACAATATCAAACTGTTGTTCAAGTTGAGAAATGAGGCACGAGTGAAATTCCACACTTTAAAAAAAAACCAAAGTAGTGAAGAAACTGTTGAGTCTGCCAGGAGATACTATGTGGACCTCAAAAACCAAGCATCATTTGCACTGGCCCGGGAGAAAGAAGTATATTTCTCCAAGGATATCAACAGGAATCTTAAGAACCCCAAAGTTTTATGGAGGAACCTAAAAACTCGAGTCCTGCCTGATCATGGGAACTGCGGGCTCCCGGGTCACTTTGATGACCCGAGCAGCATTAATAGAACCTTTCTTGATGTTCCGGGATCGTGTAGTGTCTCGATGTCTCGGCTGACATTCTTTGAGTTCAACAGATTCAGTGCTAATGAATCTCAGTTCGTGCTCAGGAGCGTCAGCCAGACGGATGTTCTGAGAGCATTGCAGGATCTTGGAACAAATGCAACAGGCACTGATGGACTTGGTTTGGAATGCTGAAATTGACACTACCACACACGCTTCAGATTATCACGGCCATAGTCAATACATCAATAAAAACCAACACATTCCCTGAGGCATGGAAGTGTGCTATTGTGCGGCCAATACCAAAAAACAGCAATCCAAACTCCTTCAAGGACCTTCGCCCCATCAGTATACTGCCGTGTCTGTCAAAAGTTTTGGAGAGGGTGGTATATAATCAGACAATCAAATATCTGGAGGATAACAACATATTGCCCGAGATGCAATCGGGTTTTAGAAAATGTCGTGGGACTGCAACGGCGCTGGCTGATGTTATAGGCAACATACTGGAGGCTCGTGACGGGGTGAGGGGACGATATTGGTGCTCCTTGATTTTTCCCGGGCCTTTGACTCGATAAACACCACTTTACTGCTTTCCAAGATGACTTACTATGGATTCGCGATGGAAACAATAAAGTGGTTTGGAAGCTACCTAAACAATAGATCCCAACTTGTTGAAATCCGTAAAGAGGACGGAACGGTCGTGTCGTCTCTTCCACTCCCTGTCGCGCGCGGCGTGCCTCAAGGCTCAATTTTAGGACCGCTTCTGTACATTCTGTACAGTGCCGATATTGTAGACTCAATCAAACATTGCAAGTACCATATGTATGCGGATGATATTCAGCTATACATGTCTTGTAGACCTACAGACGTCTCGATGGCTGTACAGAATATTAATGCTGATTTGCAAAACGTTGTTACTTGGTCTGAGGACAACTGCCTGGTACTGAATCCTGTAAAATCTAAATATATGGTCTTGGGTAGCAAGAGGACAATCAGTGTTATGCTGTCTGCTGGGCCAGTAGTTACAATTAACAATGAAAATATAGAAATGGTAAATGCAGCGACCAATTTGGGTCTCACTATGGATCCAGAGCTACACTTTGAGAAGCACATATTAAATAGTACAAGGAACTGTTTTTATAGACTAAAAACTCTATACTGCTTCAGGAAATACTTGAGTGTAGCTCTGCGCAAACAACTTGTGGACAGTCTGGTCCTATCAAGACTGAACTACTGCGATACAGCTTATGGTCCATGCTTACTAGCAAAAACAAAAAGATTGGTGCAGCGTGTTCAAAATGCTTGCATAAGATACTGTGTGGACATACCACGAAGAAGCCATGTCACCCCTTTTGCGAATCAAAACAATATTTTAAAAATGGAAGCTCGGAGACGTTTGCACATGGCAGGCCTATTGTTTGGAGTTATTACTACCAAAAGCCACGGTACCTGTATGAAAAATTACAGTGGAGACAGAACAGTTCAATAAACCACATACGCTCAACTACAAATCCACTATCCATCCCTCAGCACAGAACGGCGGCCTTCAGGGGGAGCTTCAAATATGCTGCGACTCACTGTTGGAACAACCTGCCACCACCAATGCGAGACCTGAAAACCAAAAAACACTTCCTACAGTTGAAGAATTTTCTGTTAAACACACAAAAATGTACATAAATTACACACACTACTTACATACATAACACACACAATTCACTACTCACCTCAAGGGTCGCGGCCTTCCAACATGGTGAGGCACAGGTATCCAACAGGTTCGTTCGTAGCTGCAGCCTCCCCCATCATTTATGTTCAATATAGGTATATCTGTATTTTACAGGTTATGCCGGCTACTTGCTGTAAATACAGGACACACACTTCATATTACACTCACACACGGTACACTACTGCTTTATAGTAACAATTCACGTCAGTACATATACAAGTTAAGTGAATCATGGTCTGCACTCACGTCATTCGTTGCATTGCATTCATGATCGCTGGCGAATAGTGAAGCTGGCGGGACGCCATTACGTCACCCAGGGATGTGCTGAAAATCAGCGCTGCGACGCTAACCTCTCGAGGTTTAAGTCGTAGAAATTGCTGAGCATATCCTGTTTTTGCGCACGCATACATGACGCACAATATTGGGGCAAGGGGTTACGCTAGCATTTTGTTTTATATAATTAAACTTTTATAAAATAATATACTCCATCCAATTTTATGAAATGCATGCATGAAGTAAGTAGGGTGTTCCTTGTCTATGGTCCACAGATAATGTTAGATATTAAGTATTCTATAATTTCAGTAAAGAATAAGTCTGTGGACCATGGACAAGACTTCACTTCATTTTATATTTTTAGCTTTTATTTTATTTTATTTTATTTTTATGTTATGTTTGTTTTGCGCAGGAATAAATGGTTTTTCTTTCTTTCTTCTTTCTTTCTTTTCTCTAATTCCTAATCACTAAAAGGCCACCAACGCACTTGTAACGCCTTTAAGTAAGTATCCGTCGGCTCGTTTACCATAAAAACAGATATAACGTCGCGGCTTTCAATCCTCGATAGGTTTAAGACCGAGATAATATGGTAAACGAGCATACGGATCCTCGGTAAGCCATCGGCGCCGTTTATGGACACCTGGAATACAAGAAAGAAAGAAAAGAAAGCAAAATAAATTTATTCGCCATCAGACACGGACCACCGAAAATTAACACACAACACAAACATTGAAAAACAAAAATAAAACAATATAAAAACATCAAATAACAAAATAAAAAAAACAACAATAAAGCCAAAAAAATCATTATAAAAAAAGCAAAATTAAAGAGACCGGGTTGCAGCATGTCCACGACGAAAGGGCTACTACTAGAAGAGTTGGTAGTGCGATGCCGGCCTTAATGTACAGGACAGCGTCTGTATGGTCTGCAAATATACCTAAGCGTACGGCGCGTCCCGTTCTGCTCGCGCCTCAAGGAGCCATCAGACCCCCACGGCGCCCAATAGTGCTGATGCCGATACGGAGCCGTGGAGAACTTAACGGATTACCGGGGCTCCGGCTCGAAGGGCGGGATTAGGAACGAGGTGGTTTTTAGTCAGTAAGAGTCTGACACTCCCTCCCGCCTCACCTAGGCGGGAACAGTCGTTGGATGATATTCCTCCCTTAAAAATAAAGTCCTGAAAATAGATTCTCATCCGCATCCTCAAGATATGTGCTTAAAACTTCCTCTTCTTCCTCATAATCACTTCCTCAACAAACTTACTGAACACCAGCCGCTATACAGTTCTATCTTTTTTGGATTAAAATGCAATTTTCTTATTCTTCTACAGATAAATCGCTGATAAAATTCTTCAAAAAGTCATCGGAGAGTTCAGAAAAAGATACCAAAACTAATTCTAGCGATAAAATCAATAATTATAACAATAACGATAGTGAAACTGGTATAGATAACCCAAATAATGATAATGAAAATAACGAAAATACTCATAACGACGATAATTCTAACGAAACTGCTGCAGATAATGGAAATAACCGAAATATTCATAATGGAAATGTAACAACGATTGATAACGATGTTGAAAATAACGGAGATAATCGTAATGGTAATAGAAGTAACGGTGATAGTATTAATTATCAGGAATCTTGTGATTCTGGTGATTCTAATGATGATAACGATGAAGATTATGATTATAAAAACGATGTAAAGGATAAAAATGGGAAATTGAAGCTTAATACACATCAATGTTATATTTGTTTTAAGGTATGTATTTTTAATACTTTAATACTCGACACGACAAATACGACTAATACGATCGACACGACAAATACGACTGACACGACAGATACGACAAATACGACCGACACGACAAATACGACCGACACGACAGATGCGACCGACACGACAGATACGACAAATACGACCGACACGACAGATGTGACCGATACGACAAATACGACCGACACGACAAATACGACAAATACGACCGACACGACAGATATGACCGACACGACAAATACGACAAATACGACCGACACGACAGATATGACCGACACGACAAATACGACAAATACGATCGACACGACAAATACGACCGACACGACAGATGCGACAAATACGACCGACACGACAGATACGACCGACACAACAAATACGACCACAACAAATACGACTAATACGACCGATACGACAGATACGACCGGCACGACAGATACGACAAACACGATCGACACGACAAATACGACCGACACGACAGATGCGACAAATACGACCGACACGACAGATACGACCGACACGACCAATACGACAAATACGACCGACACGACAGATGCGACAAATACGACCGACACGATAGATGTGACAGATACGACCGACACGACAAATACGACCGACACGACAAATACGACTGACACGACAAATACGACCGACACGACAAACAGGTTCCTGTAAAACAAAACCTTGTCAAACTGTAATTTAAAATAGTCTTTTTGACTGCTCGAATGGCTACTAGTACGACTGCTGAGTTTCGGGTTCAATTTCCGAGTCGGAAAAAGTATTATTGAATATTTTCTAAGTCATGAAATGTGGCGTGGACAGTTTGTATGTTTGAAAAGGACTGGTTGAAATTTAAAAAAAGTGGTAGATGGACGCCACGGGAACACGGGCGAAGTCGCTGGCAGTAGCTAGTCTTTATAAAAGTATAGCGATAGCACGATATTTAATAGTTAATAGCTAGGACGTTGAAAAAAAATGCGGACGTAATGTCACTCAGAAATGATTGAAGCACTAAAATATCAGGGTGAAGTGTGGGAGAGCCATGCTTCGGCACGAATGGGCCGGCTCGACCGGAGTGATACCACGGCCGAGCAGAAAACCGACGTGAAACAACGCTTGCGTTGTGTTTCGTCGTGTGAGTGAGGTTACCGAAAGCCCAATTACCCTCCTCTTCCCCAATCTCCCCAATCCCTGAATCCCCAACGATCATCAAACTCTTAATCCCCAAAAAGCCGGTGACGCACATGTAACGCCTCTGGTGTTCCAGGTGTCCATGGGCGACGCCGATTGCTTACCATTAGGTGATCCGTTTGCTCGATTACCGGCTTATGCCATAAAAAATACTTAGAAATGATTGAAGCAACAAAATATCAGGGTGCTTACTCTTGAAACCAATCTCAATGTCAATGCAATTTCAATCCAATAAAACGTCAATAATCATTCAATATCAACACTACAGCCCCTATCGTATCTGTTAAAATAGCATTCAGAGTGCGGAACTTAAAGCCAAGCTCAATACCATTTAGTTCATTCAATATCCACACAATACGAATGCAATGGGCGCCAGTGTTGCAACTCAAGAGTACGAAATTTCAATGCCGATCGATCGGAATCGGATTCAAGAGTAATGTTGTATTTATGTGTGCGTGTACTTGCAACACCATAATGTATGAAGTGTAATGACGGGCCATATCGCGCGATAGATATCCTTCGTGTCAATGTGTTTGTATTCTGCGTGTAAGTGTATAGTAGCCAGGTACCACAATCGTTGTTTCAAGAGACTATATCCGCCTTTATGTCACAGTCCTTGTTGAGTAGAATTTCAGTATTTGACCGTACGATAAACTAATAACTTTCTTTCATATTTACAGCTCTTCAAAACGAAAACAGACCTGCAACATCACTGCACGGAACATTTCGATATATGCAACGAGAAAACTATAAAAAAATGTCCGTTTTGTGGCTACGTCACGGATTTGAAACTCTCCAGGCACATCAGACTAGTACATAAAGTCAAAATTAGGATCCCGTACTTCCCATCTTGCATCAAAGAAAAGTCAACTGAAAACGGCTCGAAATACGTCTTCCAGATTGACGAAGGTTGTGATCTAGAAATCATACCCAGTATAAGTAATTTAAATAAATTGGCCTCATTGAAAATCGACGAGAAAAATCGCAAAACCAAAAATCAACTCCTCGCTACAACGAAATTGGTCAAAAAGGGCGAAAATTGGATGGTCAAGAAGGAAGCTGTAGAAGTTAATCATGATTATTTATTACCGAATTTTTTTAAAGAGGAATATCAAAGTTTAAAGTCTATAGGAGATACTTATATTGAGCGGTTACGGGGTCTAAGTATTATAGCAAAACAACGCAAGCTAAGAATGCTGTACCCCTGCGACGGTTGCGAAAAGATTTGTCTATCAATCGCAGCTTTAAAATTACATCTAAGAAAACATGAGGAAAATCCCAAAAAATTCAAACCTAAAATATGGAAAAATCGCATCGTGAAAGCTAGTAAAAAAATTGCGCGCGGTAAAAGTTTGAATGATGCGAGTAAAAGTTCGAATGACGCGGGTAAAAGAGTGAATGACGCAACTATAAGTTCTACCAATCGTTTCGCTGATCCGAACCCGGTGACTCGTAAGCACAAATGCGATAAAGCGTTAATAGATTTTTATAAAACGAACATTAAAGGTGGCGATATAGAATTTTGGCAATTTTTGAAAATTTATAACAAGATGGACAGGGAAAATGTTAAAGATTTCAAAGATTTGGAGAATAGATTCGATTTTGGTATGCATAACATGATAGTTAACGATAAAAATAACGAAAATGTTCCCAAAAATAATGAAAATTTTCCCAAAAATAATGAAATTGTTCCCAAAAATAATGAAATTATTCCCAAAAGTGTAGATAATAAGAATAATAGTAGAAAAGTTAAGAAAAATAACGTAAAGAAAGGATTCACTAGAGCAATAATGATAAGTAAGAGAGAATATATGAGAAGAATGGAGATTAAAAAGACAATGAGAGAAAGATTGCAAGCTTCTAAATAAAGTAACAATTGCCAATGTTTTAGGTTTTTTGTACAATGTCTCAGTTATAGCCCTGAATCTGGAATAGGGGTTAATGTATTTTTGCTCACCAATTGGCGCAAATGTATCAAGACGTTTTTTGTCCAATCAATGCAGCTGTCAACAGCCTATAAGTGGCCACTGCTGACCAAACCAAACCTCTTCTCACACGGAGAAGGTTATTATCACATTAATCACCACGCTTGCTCAATGCGGGTTGGCGATTTCGAACTTATGATTAGAAATTATAAACTTAGGTTTCCTCACAATGTTTTCCTTCATCGCTTGTCAGTGGTGTCTAAATAATTTTAGAAAGTACATATAACTCGGAAAAAGTTATATTGGTACTTGCTGTTGGTGGGTTTGAACCCGCACCCTCATTCATGAGAAGCGGGCGTCTTAAACCTCCGGGCCACCGCGACGCTTTACTTTATTAACTCGTCGAGTACCGGTTTTATAGACACAATTAAAGAACAATAGGTCGCGGTCACCGGTGACCGCTTGGTGTTTGACAGTTTAATTGACGCAAATATTAAACGTGTCGTGAAAATATTAAACAAACGTGGTGTGTCACTAGCTAATTCCCTATTGGACGAAGAACGGGAGGTTCGCACTAGGACCATCAGGAGAGCAAATATACGGTAGGTCCCATTGTCCCCGGTATATGACAATAGACTCACCCCCTATTACATGGAACTCATAATATAAATAGTGAAAAGTGGGTGTTACATTGTAACGGTAAAATCGGGTGAATAGGGATCGAGATGTGAATAGGGATAGAAGAGGAGTGAATTGATACTATGAAAAAATTCCCAATATCAATTCACACCTCTTACATACATAACGTCACGCCTTTTATCCCCGAAGGGGTAGGCAGAGGTGCACATCATGCCACTGTACAATGTAACGCCCACTTTTCACTATATATAATTATGAGTCCCATGTAATAGGGCGTGAGCCTATTGCCATATACCGGGCACAATTCCAGACTCCGTGCTACTACTAAGGTTTTTACAAACCCAGTAATACTTTGCCCGACCCGGGAATCGAACCCGAGACCCCTTGCCCGGCAGTCGCACTTGTGATCACTCGGCTAACGAGGCAGTCATTCACACCTCTTTTTTCTCTATTTACCTCTCGATCCCTATCCACCCCATTTTACGGTATATGTGGACTCATGCCATACCTCTTTATGAATTAAAGTGTGAGATTATGTTAGTACCTCAAACCCCTAACCCCCAAAAGGCGACCAACGCACTAGTAACTTCTCTAGTGTTGCGGGTGTCCATGGACGGCGCTAATTGCTTACCATCAGGTGACCCGTCTGCTCGTTTGCCCCTAAAGGTACTATAAAAATGTTGTGAATATTTATAACTGACTTCAAAAAAACTGTTTGTGTGTGTGTGTGTGTGCGCGATTATCTCGCAATTGGCTGAACCGATTTTGATGCGGTATTCAGAACAGTGTTTGTTATACTTAGGAGGTTTTAGTTACTTATATCAATTAACTCGTTGAGTACAGTATTTATAGACACAATTAAAGAACAATAGGTTGCGGTCACCGGTGTCCTCGCGGTGTTTGACAGTTTAATCGACTTAAAAAAAAGAGGGGATTGAAGTCGGTTTTTTATCGTTGTTTATGAAAGAATTATGTTTTCTTTATTAATAGAAGAGATTTTTAGTTTAATTATGTTAAGACCACCTTCTGTTGTGGCAATTGACTGATAAAAATGGCAATTATGGGGTGTGCAATATTTACACCTCTGTCTACCCCCTTTGAGGTATATCAGACATGTTTATAAAGTCTATATTAATTATTATAATAGGTTAGATTCAGAGCCGTATTATCCTTAAAGGTACTGTTGTCCATGCTAATTTGTCGCGAAGAACCTAACGGGTAACCGGGGCTCCGGCTCGACGTGAAGAAGGAACGGGATGGTTTTTAGTCAGTAAGAGTCTGACACTCCCTCCCGCCTCCACCAGGCGGGAGCAGACATTCGATGATTTTCCCCCCTTAAAAAAACCCATCCATAGAAGGCATGTGTGATAGTAAATACCATAGCTAAACTAGGCAAGTTTCCTAGCCTCTAGCACTATTAGGGTAGACGACTAATTTTTATTTTAATGTCCGTCTGGTAGATTATTTAAAAACATTAGACACGTATTTTTTCTTTTCTCACAGAAACGAATAGTTTCGAAGATATATTGATTTGAAATGTCGCGTGACGTCACTTCTCAGTACATTTTATACTAAGAAATGACGTTTTAGCCCCCACTCCTAAACTTTGATTCGTTTTATCTAAGTATTGTTTTATTATACGACAAAATAAAAAAATACGTGTCTAATATTTTTTCATTACCTAACTTACGGACTAATTATATTTTTAATTTTCATACCCTGTCATCATCCCCATTGTGAATATGAATAAAATTGAAAATTAATATCAATCCCATATAATTTCGTTTTCTACTCTATTTATTTTGCATTTGGCTAAAGGCTCTGGTTATAGAGGGGCGTCGCGAGATGAGTGTGCCCAACTACTCATAGAGTGGCAGCGCTACGAAATTAAATTAGAGGTGCCTATGAGGAGCTTGCCTTTTTTTGTTTTGTTTTAGGGGAATCATCGAATGACTACTCCCGCCTGTGTGAGGCCGGAGGGAGTGTCACTCTTACTGACTAAAAACCACCTCGTTCCTTCTCTTGCTCTCCGAGACGGAGTCCCGGCAACTCGTTAAGTCCTCCGCGGCTTCATATCGGCATCAGCCCTATTGGGAATTCATGGTAGTCTGATGGCTCTTGAGAGGTAATCCATCTAGAGCACCTGTGCGAATAGCACCTGAACGCGACGCGCCGTACGCTCGGGTCTGGTTTTGTTTGGGTGGTGGCCACCCATGCTCGCCGTCCGCAAGCCCATAAATAAGGGGCTTGGCTAGGTCGCTCTCTATATACCTAGATTATTGGCTATAAAAGAACACGCTACATAGCATAGGTACTGAGTAGTGTGATACCATAAAATAATAAGTAGATAGTAAAAATTGTGTTGATTTTTCTTGAATAAAGTAAAATAAACAAGTTTTGTTTGTATGTCTGTTGTTTTATTTTTAATACCTTATCTATAGGTTACAAAAATGATCTAGTATTATTATAACTTACAAATTGATTATCGTATTTGGCAGCAGTCTCAAGTCAGCGCCTTTAGCCAAACGCCACTTTAGCGCTTGTCTACAGAGAGAGTAGAAAACTAAATGTATGGGGATGACACTGACAAGTGTCAAAATTTACGTCAATTCTATATAATTTAGTTTCTACATGTAGACAAGCGCTAAATGGCGTTTGTCTACAGCTGCAGTTTTGATTCTTGACTGCAGTATAGTAATAACTAAGGGCCGATTTTTAAATTCGCAGTTAATTCTTAACTGTAGAATAAAATTGACATTTGACAGTTATCAGTATGGAAGTATTGTCAAATATTTAAAGTTATACCTCAGTTAAAATTTATCTGGCGTTGGAAAAATCGGTCTTAAATGGATTAACCTTTTCACCGCCAAGGACTTCTATAAAAGTTCCAGATTTTCGTGCCACCAGCGCCACGACTTCTATAGAAGTTGTTCACTTTAACTATCTTATTAAAATAAATTTACCTACTGTGATTAAAAGCTTTGTTTCATTTTATTATTCAAGATAGCACTGTTTACCACCCTGTTTACTGTTCTACACAAAATAAGCCCTAAGTAGTTTGTCCTAAAATCTGCAAAAACAGAAACATTATTCTGCAGAAACGGGAATTACCTAGCAACCTATATACCTACAGTAAAAAATGTTGACTGAAGTTATTAAAAAAACACAGGAATAAACAAAAATAGAAAGAAAGACCATAGACCCCATCCCTGATCAGTATCGAATTCAACGTGCCCTCAGCGCCAATGACTTCATATGAAGTTAAAGAATGAGATCATGAAACAAATAGGGATGTACCCCATTCCTCATAGTTCTAATTGAGTTATGTGTTAGTTTCTTTGATATTCATAATTTATACTATTTTTTCTTATTAAGGATATTGTGAAATAAAACGAACCTGGAAATATTTCATCAGTTTTTATTTATATTCGTAAAATCAACTTTAAATCTTACTTTACGCGTACAAATCTTATTCATCGATATGACGATATCCCCATTACTATATATACTGTATACTTAGCTATACATTTATAGCTTGGCGCTCGGCGAGGCATTGCGTTTTGTGTGCGTTGGCGGCGAAAAGGTTAACTAAAAAATAACGAGTTAATCACGTAAATATACTGAGAAAAGCTCTACTAGCTCCGAGACACAGAGAGACTTCTTCATGAGTCGCGTGCTTGGACGCGGCGACGTCAGTAGGACTAGTAATATACCTTTTCTCAGTAGGTATATTTACGTGCGTAAACCATTATTTTAGTTAATAGGGTAGTTTCCTACATTTTAATTTAATGTCCGTCTGGTACATACATTAAATTTAAAGCTTTAGACACGTATTTTTTCTTTTCTCACAAAACTAAATACTTTCGACGATATATTAATTTGAAATATCGTGTGACGTCACAGCGTGCCACATTTTGTAGCACGTTATGACGTAACAACCTCCCACTCCTAGGCCCGTATTAATAAACCGATATCAGCGTAAGAGTGAGATGTTAAGATCCTGTTTGATATTCCGACATATTAACACGTTCGAGGACAGAACGAGATTATACGTCATCGTTCGAGATTTTAATATCGCACAACGTACGATGACGTTCAAATAACATTTAAATTATACGGCAGAACGTTCATTTCCGATGAAAGTTCAAGTAAAAATCCTTTTAAATGTATCTTGTGTCACAACATATAAAATACCCAACTCTGTACTGTCACGTAGGGTAAGTTTAGAACTATTTAAAATAAGTGTCGTTGATAGTGTGCGGTTACGGTATTCACATACGCACAACGTGTTTATACGTCCCGCG